AAGATGAAGAAACATTTTGATGAACTATTGGAGATGAGGTTTGCTGAAGTTCATTGCCATCTCAAAAGCAACATCATGATTCAGCAAGTGTTCAACTCCGAACAAAAGGCACAGCTGCAGATCCAACTCTCCCAGCAACCTGCTCAAATGGAGGCAATTCACAAAGAGCTTGAAGCTCTGAAATCCAGGGATGAAGATCTAGAGAATCAAATCGTAGAATCCCTCAAAGAACTAAGAAAACAAGAGCTAGCAGCTGCCTCCGGGCAAGCAGGTGCCTCCCAGCCAACAGCAGAGGTCTCTGCTCAGGTACCTGCTCTTCCTAATCTTCCTCCTAACCTTGAGAAGGTCCTCTAACAATACAGGCACATGAGGAGTTCTTACAACACTTAAAGACCAAAGAGCTACCTTCCATTTTCCATCTCTCACAAAAGTTGGTCACAAAGCAATTTGAACACTCTGAGGAAATTGGTAAGACACGAGCTGATGTTGCCAAGCACCTCAATGACCTTCACAAAGCTACTCGAGAACCTTTCCTCGAGCAAGGAAGTAACTTCCAGAAACTAAGCCAAAACTTGGAGTCAGCTACCCAAAGGCTACAGCAGCTAGAAAACGAGGTCAAAGATGAGGTAAGAACAGACCTCATGGACATCCATAACTACATTAAAGCATTGTCCATTAGGGTCTATGGTCTGGATCCTGCAAAAAGAGCACAAGAAGAAGTTGCCTTTGATCCAGAAATCGAAGCTCTCTTCGACGAAAGCAAGGCCCTGCTTATGCCAAAAAGGGGGGAGAGTCAACACAAGCAGGCCCCTCCTCCAGCAAGTCCCTAGCAGCCAAGAAAGGAGCTGAAACCGGAAAGAAGAACAAGCGGCTACAAGAAGAAATGGAGATAAGAAGAAGAAAAGCTGAAGAAGCAAAAGCCAGAGAAGAGGCCAAGAAGAAAGAGGAAAACAAGTAGATTAGATCTAAAGTCCGAAACTGACTATAACCTATTGTACTCTAGACTTTAGAACAATGTACAAAATCTCAAATGAAAATCAATAAAAATATTTTATTCTTGTGTTGTATAGTTTTGGCATCATCAAAAAGGGGGAAATTGTTAGTACCCAATTTTGATAGATTTTGATGATGCCACTATACTTAGCACGTGTACATTGTGTCTCAATATTGTTCGTATGTTAGCATTCAAAATTATGTGACAAAATAAAGTGTACAATTTTTGAGTCGAATTGAATATTACCGGAAATGTTAAAATGCAATAAGATAATTTTTATTTATCTTAATAGGATATTTAGATCCTACCGGTATATATTATTTTAGTTCAAAGGTTAATTGTATGTCACATTATTGAAGAAAAGAAGCTCGGAAAATCAAATACATTGAATGTAGATGATTGAAGACAAAAATTGACTAGGCAATTAATACATGGGACCGGAGCATAGGACGCATATATTATTATTATGAGAAGATTTTCCGAAGAGATGCTTCAGCGGCTGAGATACTCAAGACAAAGAAATCATCCCAAAAAAATGCTCCAGCACAAGAAGACGAATGTACAATTCATCCTTGCAAGAATTTCAACGTCAGAGATTAATTCATCCTAACCAACGGATGAGATTAATCCAAAGGAGAAGCCTATAAATATAGGCTGAAACGAAAGTTTCTAACTAAGCTTGAGCATCCTAAGTAGAGAGATATTTCTATTGAGCATTCACGAAATATCTAGCAAAAGAAAAAGTGTTATTCTATACTTTACTCTCTGCTTAGACTCTTGCTTCATTAAACTTCTTAGTCTCAAGTGTTAATTGCTAAATCCTAAAAGTTTAGTTCCTAGTTGGAGGTTAGAACTTTCTTGTAAACCAATCAGATATTGTTGTAAACACTTCAGGAGGACAGCTGTTCTCGGCCTGAGTGTGGTTAGATAGGTCAGGAGTACCTTTTGATCCCCACTGGATCAATTGAGAAAAACCTAAAGGATTGAGTAGCTTGGAGTGGTGTTGTACTCCTCATGAAACACCTTCAATCTAGGCCAGAGTTGTCAAGGCTAGATTGGCACTATGTGTATTGGGCTCAATACATTAGTGAAATCCATTTGAAATAGGATGGCACTGGATGTAGGAGGATTACACCACCTCTGAACCAGGATATACTGTGTGTTGATTTATTTTCAGTCAACAAAGCACACACTGAACACTTCTCATAAAAGATTGCAGTTTGCCAGCAGCATCCTAAGCAGTAGTCTTAATTTGACCCTACTGCTTATCCTACTGCTTAATAACTCACTTTCTTTGAGATACAAGAGCTTTATAATATCATAACTATATATAAGGTCTGTTCCATTAGATTTCAGGAAATCCTACTTAAGGCATATCAGTTGCCTCAGCAGTCCCCTGGTGACTACCCAACTGCTAAGCCCACTGCTCACGCAAAAGTGTTTCCTTTGAACATCTCAACTTCACCAGACCTTCACAACTCTATCTCCAAGAAGTCTGTTCAAACTGATCTGTAATTCAAAGTGGTAACCCAACAGGTGCCTCAGCAGTTCCCTCACTATCACCCAACTGTCGAGACCACTGCTCCATTAAAACTCCCACTTACTTGGACTAATGCACATCTTCAGAAAGTCCTCATCATCCTGAGCAACACCATATAATCAATCTTCCCTTACCTCCACCTTTATTTAAGCAGGTGCCTCAGCAGTTCCCTGGTTACCACCTAATTGCTGAGACCACTGCTCTCATTAAGGTTGATTATTAATCTACCTTGTTATATCATCACAAAGCTCTTCCCACTCTAAGAAAGATTATGAGTGCACTTTCATCATACACTGAGTATTTCGCTAGCAGTTGCCTCAGTAGTTCCCTGCTTTCTAGCCAACTGCCAAGCCAACTGCTCACCTTACAAAGCCCAAATTTCATCCATCATAGAAAGCTGTTATACACTATTTATCTCAGAGGTTAAAGACTTTCGCTGTGCGTCTATAAATCTCCCAAAAGATTATAGATCAACTCATCTAGAAGGGAAAAGTTTTAGAGTTGAAAAAGCTTTAAAAGTCTATTCACCCCCCCCCCCCCCCCTCTAGACTTTTACCTCTATCCGGGACCATCAAATACCCCAAACTTTATAGGGTGTAAGATAAACACCCCAAACTTTCGTAGTATATAATTTAAATACCCCAAACTTTATATAAAAAGTTGTTTTTAACACCATGATCATGTAATAATTATTTCAAAAATGTGAAGTCATGGTGTTAATTGCATAATTTAAAATAGCAAATTGAAAATGTTGCAATTATATAGAGTGGGGAGGTAATACTATATATTTTACAATGAATGTTTAGAATGTTAATTGTATTTTCTTGAACGCTAAAATATTTTAAAATATAAATATAACACAAAAAATTAACATTTTTGAAAGAAATAATACATAACAATGGTGCTACAATAATTTTTTATATAAAGTTTGGGGTATTTAAATCATATATGCGAGTTTGGGGTGATTAGATTACAGCCCTTCGCAGTTCGGGGTATTTTAATTATTTTTCCATTAAATTAAAAAATCAATAGCCGCAATGGTTACGACTAAGCAGTTCTATCCAATTCAAAACAAAAGCTCTATGGAAAATCAGAAGAAAAAGCATTCACCAAAGAAAAAGCAGTTAGGACTTAGAATCACTAATAATGTAATGAGAATTCTGAAACACAATTCTCCAACCTTTTCAGTCTTCATACTCTACAGTCATAACCAAAATGAAACCACCCATAAAACATGCATCATATTCTACACATCACAAGAATAAAAAACACAACACCAAAGCAAACAAATAACCAACTAGAGCTAGGGGTGGATTCGGTTCGGGCCACCCGGCCCGTGACCCAGCCCGGCCCGTTACTGTGCGGGATTGGAACCGGCCCGGTTTGGCGGTCCGGGACCAACTGTAGACCCGAACCGGGGGGCAGCTGGGGGCGGTCTCGGTTCCGGCAAAGCGTGACCCGGCCCGACCAGGTCAGACCCAGGTTCGGGTCACAATGGTCAATTTTTTTTTTTGGGCCACACCGGGATGTGGATGGACCACCGTACGCAACTTGCAAATGATGCGGAAAAAAATGTAGCTTGGACGTTTCACGCGGATACGGGATGGTCAGGAAGCATATTAAGTCATATGAAAAAGCCAAAGGACCGGGAAATTCTGATTGATTACAAAATGTATTTCATATTGTATTTTTTTCTCAATTATCAAATGTAGTTCCTATTTCGTTTCAAAAAAATGCACTTCAAGTTTATTTTTAATACTTGTAAAAAACTATAAAGTATAAATAAGTAAAAGAAAATTGGTTTAGCCAGCCCGACCTGGCCCGGCGGGTGGCCCGACCCGTGACCCGGGCGGGTGACCCAGCCCACACAGGAACCGTTCTTACCTCAGGCCGGTCCCACCTATTATAAACCGGAGGCCCGTCCCGGGCCCGAACCGGCCCGATTCCACCACTAACCAGAGCGGAGGAAAAGTAAAACATTTAAGTAGAAAAATTAAATACGAAACAGCAATTTCAATCATTCAATCTCACTGCAAAAGTATAATAATAGGTAAAGTGTAATAATAGGTAAAAGAGAAAACATAAGGGAACTGATGTAAGAAAGAAATAGAATGTGCAACCGTTAAATTAAGAAAAATTCAACACATTCAATAAGTGTGAAAAAGAACATAAGCACATAGGTTATTCAGAAGCGAAAGAGTAATTGAAAATCCCAATAACAAACAAAAAAATCATGAGAACAAATTCATCATAACTTATACGAAGTATTTATTGGTATTCCGTGTTCATTCTTTTTTATCAGGTTAGTAATTAGTTCAAGTTTTATTGAACCGTTTGGGCGTTGTACGAAATAAATTTCACTAATTAGGCATTTTCTTAAAATTTCTACATTTAAACTATAAACATATACTCCGTATTAACTTTTATGCATGAGCTTATTAAAATAAAAAAAACTTACTCCGTATTTTTTAGATGATTAGATTTGGCCGTAGTAAAAAATGACAAGCTTGAGTTAAATTTAGGACTTGGGAGTACTAATAATTGTCAACATTAACAGAATGGGAAATTTATAAAAGGTAATACAAAAAGAATACAGATGAATGTGCTTAAGAGAGAAAACCCAAAAAAAAATATTAATAATACACTTATCACAACTATAGCAATTATCACCGTCGATCCGATGCAGGCAACTGCAGAGTAAAAGGAGGATATGCCTCCTCCATGAGATAATATTCTGTGAGGTCTGCCCAATCCCCACAAAAAGATGAATCAAGGCTTGAAAGCAGAGAATGCTACAACAGAGTTGTGACCACCAAAACCGAATGAATTCGAAATTGCTGCAAGTGATAGATTTCAATTAGAAAAGTTGAGTCATACTGTGCTAGTCACATTGAGTTCACTAATTACATTTTAACAAACATGCCCTTCTAACTGAAGAACAGTAGTGAGGGAAGACAATGTCAGCAAGAATATCTTACCAACGTTAATTTCATGCTGCTGTTTCTTGTTTGGAACAGTGTCAAACTCCACAGAGGGCTCGGGATTCTACAACATTCAATGGAAAACAACATTAGGATATCAGACAAATATACATAGGCCCTGTTTGATTAGTCTCCACTTTCATACTAAATAAATTGTGAACTATAGCATGATTTATTCGTTTGCATGAATTGCATTGGCTGATGATATTAAAAAAGAGTTATGGATTACTTTTTGGATGAAATGACTACAATTAACATAAATGAAACACTCACTCTTTGTATATTATTTCCTTCGGTTATAAAGAAAAACTAAATTATAATAAACCTAATCAGCATATTCGTTAAATTCAACAACAATATCAGCAAATTCAGCCCATTCAATCATGGCACACAACTTTGCTCCAACCAAAGGGCTCATAAATGCTTTTCAAAAGCAAAGTATGATATTTAATAATAGAATATACATACAAATTGGTTTATTGTAGGATGCAACCAGCCTGTTGTAATGGCTTTCACAGTTGCAATAGCTTCAAGGCCACCAGCAGCACCCAGACAGTGTCCTATCATGGACTGTAATACACAAAAACAATAACAAATGATATAAAAGGGGAAATATAAAAATGGGAAGTCTATTATCACCTTAATGCAAATATATTAACTTACCTTTGTAGCATTTATTTTGATATCCGAAGTGTTCTTGAAAACCTTCTTAATAGCATTCACCTCAGCTAAATCTCCAACAATAGTTGAGGTTGCATGAGCATTGATGTAGTTCACCTAGAAAGGATGGTATGAAGTGCAATGATTTAGTCATCATCTCTAGCACCTTTTTTGTTTAAACTACCATTTTTAACATTGATATTATGTTGCAATAAAGTGAACTGATTAAGGAAAAGCAAGGTACCTCTTCAGGTGAAACACCAGAATCTTTAAGAGCAGAATAGATGCATGAAGAAACACCAAGTCCATCTGCTCTTGGATCGGTCATGTGATGAGCATCACATGTTACTGCCCCTCCAAGATACTCCGCAATAATTGGTGCTCCTCGTTTCATTGCATGCTCCAAGCTTTCCATCACCTTACCAATGTGAAAATCATGTCACTTAATTTCTAGGTCTAGTTTAAATTCCAGATGCATGTATACTCAAATCATTAGAAAAACAAAGAAAGGAGAAAGTGTACAGAAAATATCTTAGATCAAGATCCAAACTAGGAGGTCAACTGTATAAAACATGACACAATGAACACAAAAAGAATGAATCTGATATGAAGATGGTGACTTTTACAACAACACTTGTGAAAAGTTTTATCAACTCCTAAAAACTTATGTTGCCCCTTATTTAAGCACTTAGAAGTAGAATGAAATATTGGAATGTTTGGATGAAGCTCCAGAATCATTTCTAACTACTTCAAAATTCAAATCGGTCCTCAGAAACAGTAAATGTTAATTCTCAAAATAACCACAACCAAGTTTAAATATAAAAATATAAAGTAAATGTACATGCAAATATAAACTTTAAAATATATCAGTAAGTGCATTAGTGCAAATGTAATATAAATATCTAGAGATATAAATATCACTACTTCCATCCCTTAAAACTCTGGCATCTTTGAATTTTTTGTCAATGGTGGTATAATTTGTCCATTGATTATTTGATTATGATTAATATAATTCTGTGAACTTGTGAAAGTCTTACTTTTTATACTTTAATGAGAATATTTTTAACAAAGAACATTTGAATACCATTCTCATATTATAAATAATTTTGCATATAAATCTACTTTTGGGAAAATTTAACATCATTGAATAATAAAGTCAAAGAGGGCAAAGTTTTAAGGGACAGAGTGGGTTATATATATATATATATATATATATATATATATATATATATATATATATACATATTAATTTGTGATTAAGGCTTGGATGTTGTTGTTGTATATTCATTTGTGACATTGCGTGTGTGCATGTGTTTGTGTGTGCATACTGTTCTAAGTTCTAACTATATAACCTTGGAGCACCACGCTTATGGTCATTTTATACAAGAATCAGTTTCAAATAGCAGAGTATTCAAAGTCCAAACACTCAGTGATTCTCTGTTTCCTACTGCAGAAGCAATGTCAAACACTTTTTCATAGTGCTAAAAATTGTTATTCTTATTTCTGCTTTTAAAAAAGAAGCATAATCAATATCAAACACCCACTTGATTTCTCCAAAAAATGTTCTGTTTCAAATGCTTTTTGTGTTCCAAAAAAAAAAGTAATTTCCAAAAAAAGTCACAACGATGTTATGTATGATAAATAAATTTTGTGGTTAAAAAATATCAAAAATAAAAATAGGCTACATGACTCGTGAAAATTGTAAGTTACCAGAGCAGAAAGGTTGCACATGATCAAACAAGATAGAGATTATACTATATTACTATGTCAGTAACTTTATTAGAATCTAGCTTTTCAAATGTAAATTATGTTTCTTGTTAAGTAAAGAAGTAGCAGCACGTGAGTAAAACATGAGTATCAGCCAATGTAATAAAAAGTTCCAATTTGGTCGGCATATGATCATGCATTAGTAAATTGCTGAAGGTATAGAAATCAATAGGAAAAGTACTGCAACGTATAGAAAGCAATAAGAAAAGTACTCCAAACTTACCAGCACTCCAGCTCCTTCGCCCATAACAAAACCATCACGCTCTTTATCCCATGGTCTAGAAGCAGTTTGTGGACTATCATTTCTTTGAGATAAAGCTCTGCAAGCCACAAAACCTCCTAATCCAATTGGTATTATGGCAGCTTCGGTTCCACCTGCTAACATCAAATCAGCCTCACCTCGGCGAATATGATTGGCAGCTGCATAGAAGCAGTAGTTTGAGGTGGCACAAGCGGTTGAGATTGAGTAGTTTGGCCCCATAAAACCAATGTCTATAGCCAGCAAAGCAGAACCCATGTTGGTTATGGCATAAGGTATGAAAAATGGAGATATTTTCCTATGACCCCTTTCTATTAAGGATTGTACACCATCTGAAAAGGCAGTAAGACCACCCATTCCAGTTCCCACAAGAACACCAGATCGCTCCTTGTCAATCTACAGTAAATAAGAAATTAGAAAATAGATTGATTTTGTAAAAGACTGGAGGAAAAATGACAATGCATGATCGACATGAACTAACAGTGCAGTTGTAGGACAATGACTGCTACTTGTAGGAAAGGAAATTCCAAAAGTATTATTGTAAAATTCCAAATCTTGACTCAAAATTTCAATCAAATAAGAATGATAAATTTGAATATCGCGGAAAAATTAATTCAAACATATTAGTGTCATTATAGACAAAGGTGAACACTTTCCGCACAGCCCAAATTAATATCCATTAAAAAGGATTCAACTTTTTAACCCAGCAACTGAATTAGCAAAAAACAAATCAACAATGTGAAGATTCCAACCTTTCCGATCCTATCACCTCCAAGATCGGCACTTTCTAGAGCTTTCTTCCCAGCGACAATGCAGTACCTAAGGCAGTCGTCCATCCTCCTATCGTTCTTACCGTCAATGTACCCCTCCGACTTAAATCCCCGAATCTGGCCGCCAAATCGGGTGGGGAACTTGGATGCGTCGAATCGATCGATGAGAGAGATGCCGCTCTCCCCTACGAGAAGCTTCTCGTAGTAAGCGTCGACGTCATTGCCGAAGACGGACACAAGCCCCATCCCCGTAATGACGACCCGCTTCTTGGGGTCAGTCTCCCGCTTGGGAGCGGAATCGGCGGCGGAGGCAGTAATAAACCGGAGAGTCCTGGGCAGCGGCCTTGGGGCGACGCCATAAGAGAAACGGGAAGGTGGCTGTTTGCGGAGGCGGTGAAGCGGGGAGGGGCGGAGAGAGGAGGGCTGAACCGCCTGCATTATGGTGGTTGAATGACTGAGGAGGAGAATTTCGATGAGAACGAGGGAAGCAGGCGGTGAATACGAAGCCTGAAAATGTTTGGGGAGGAGGGGAGCTTAATAGTGGAGGGTGTTTGAATCTGATTTTACAATCTCACAAAAATTATTACTTACTTCGCACTGCTTTAATTAATACAGGGAAGCAAGAAGACCTTTGGGGAGGATGAAAGTAAACTTCGAGGAGAATGATGTACACACCCTCGTACACACCTTGTACACACCATGTTTGTAAAGCTTTTTTTTGTCTGTGAATCTGGTTCACAGACAATATTTTGTTTGTGCAAAACATTGTCTGTGAATCGATGTTCACAGACAAAAAAAAAAGCTTTCACAGACATAGGTGTGTACAAAAGTGTGTACAAACAAGGTGTGTACAAGGGTGTGTAATGGTTCCAACTTTGAGAGCATAGGGGTCGTTGAAGTTTGTTCTAGTCATGGACTCATGGATTATTTGATTGTATTTCTCTCCTTTTTAAAATAGGAATTTTATTAATTCAGGACCCGAAAGATAGATTAATTATCAATTCAGGACTCGAAAGATGAAACGTATCAGTATAGGACCCGAATGATGAAAAACAATCAATTTAGGACCTAACGTTTCATAGGTTTTGATTTGTTTAATTTTTTATTAATTCCATTACTACTTTTTGATAAACTTTTCTTCACAAAAGTTTATTAGTTTAATAAAACGAAATAATATTTAAAATTTTTTAATAAAAAAAACTATGACAACTTAGGTCCTAGATTAATAGTTTTCAATCATTCAGGTCCTAAATTGATAGTTTTTCATCATTCGGGTCTTATATCGATGCATTTTATCTTTCAGGTCTCGAATTGATAATTAATCTATCTTTCGTGTCCTGAATTGATAAAATTCCTTTAAAATATTACTATCCTCCCTATCGTATTAATTACAGCATTATACAACATTGGAATATATACACTATTCATGTACTTTACTTTGACTACATTTTATTTATTAATGTATATGAATTATTATTTTTTTGAAAAATATTGTTAAATTCTTCTCATTACTAAGTTTTATAATCTGATTTTTATTTTATTTTTACTAATACATAATTAAATATAATGATGGTCAAAGTTGTGCATTGACAAACGTGAAATGTTGACTGTTGCAACTAAAAAGAGATAGAGGAAGTATTTTATAAGTGATGAAATTATCTTTCAAGAAAAAAAAATATAATGAAATTATACACCTCAGTACCTCACATGTATTTAAATAGAAAACTATATTATGAAATTGTTTTTTTTTGGAACAATGCGGCTTTAAATTGATATCAAAGCATTCAGCGAGGGAACAAGAAAGTAAAAGGACCACTTCCAACCACCGACCCTCAAATCAGACTTAGATTTAATCACCCAAAATAAAGCAATATGGCTCGCTTATCCTGCAATGGGTCTAAATGAGCCTAACGTGGTTAGAGTAAACCTCTCACCACCCCAACCTAATGCAAGAATCTGGCAAAAATAAACGTACATCACCAACAAAACAACATCAAAATCAAAGTAATAACACAACCAAGCTAAATCAAAAGTAGAAATAGTCTTCCAAACCCTAGTCGCACAATTCCTCCATGGCGGTGGTTCGAGAGGGGGCGGATCAACACCTCTTCGTCTTCTTTCACCCGTACGAGATTGCCGCCATCGGCAAAGCACTGGAATATTACTGGGCTTCGTAGACCTCTGCAAATCCAGCTGAGGACGCTCATCTTTTTCTGTTCTTCAGTTGACGGGGACACCACAGAGACTAGCCGAGCCAGGTGACCGGAGCCACCGCCGGAAAAACTCCTAGGAAGATCCTAGAGACGACCATAGTTTCTTTGTTGCTAATTTAGTTCTCGAACACACTGCCTTCCTTCAGCGCATCCCCTCTCCTAAGGCGCTAGTCTCCTCGCAACCCTTCCCACTGGTGCGACGCCTCAATCGATCGATCTTGGTCAAAGATTGACGCCGCCGATTACTAGGGTTCCCTGTGCCTCAAACTTTGACATTTTATTATGATTTTGTTTAGAATAGGAGTAAAATATTACTACATAATAAAATTGGGAAATAATGCATGTTTTGCGTTGATGTCTCCTGTTTTTTAATATTACTCTTTTCATATTTTGTGCTTGGAAGAACTAAGAGGTGTTTCAGATTCACTTTTCGTAGAACGGTTATCCTGCGATATTTGGTAATATATGTATACTTCTCTAAGATGTCACGCAATTTGAACACAAGAAAAGAGGGAGTCCTCAAAAGCCACCATATAATGTGTAGTACCGCCTAGTTTCACTACTCATTCAAATAGTCGAGTTCATTCAAATAGGGGAGTTCTGTAATGCATGAGTGCTCTCTACAGTAAGACTGGGTACAGACTGCAATTAGAGCTTGGGCTATTAGATATTAACACTGTACAGACTGCATTTAGAGTTTGTCATTCTTTATTCCTATGATCCTCTATAGATTTTTTATTGCTTTTTCACAATATCAAATACATTTTAATATTTGAACATTGTGTTTGGCATCGTAGAGAATAATTCCTAATTTTCAAATATCTATCTTGCTAATGAGGTTGTGGAAAGAAATAGAAATGAAATCTACTCGTTAATTTTTAAATATCTCTTATGGCACATGTGTATTGTCAAGGAAATTTATAAATAGTTTTTTAAAATGTTAATATTATAAAGAATTTTATTTAGTTTATCAGCACATAAAAAAGATAAGACTGTTTAACTTTCAATGAGTTGAGGGATGTATTTACAAGTCTTTCGATTCAAATAATCGCTAATAATTCCAGAGCTTATTTGGTCCTTTTATTTATACAAATGTGTGTGCAAATGTGCATTACACTCACCTATAAATGTTCCCACGTTTTTGTCATATTATATGTAAATAATGCATTAAACTTTTGTCAATTTTCCTTTTTGATTGTCTCACCAATTTTATCACTTTTCTCTTTAAGTAAAAAATTTGTGGTTCCAGATAATTTTCCCTTCTCTCCAAAAATGTCAATCATGCAGTTTTTAGTTTATTAATCCCGTACTGGTCAAACTTGGCCAAACTTTATTAATCACCAAACAATTCAAACCACTTTTCTAAAACTCATAATCTGTACTATGTAAAAATTCACTTTTATTTATTTCAAATATTACTTTCCATTTTAGAAAACTTGTCTCATTTACTATTCTTGAGCCAATTTACTTCTCTTTTGAATTCTTTTTGTTATTCAGTTTGATAATATCTAAATATAATTACAAACTAGTATGGTACCCGTGTGATGCACGGAAAACTTTTCATGTAGTCATTTATACTCCACAATATTTAACCGACGACTTGCCCTATTAAATATCCGTTTGGTAAACATTTTTTTCATTTTATCAAGTTTACCAGCCAACTTTTTAACCAAGTATATAACTTTTGATTTAACGCACCGAATTCGGTAATACGTAATAATAAGAAAAGTAAGGTTGTAGTTACTTTTTCGATTGTATTGACTGAAATTATTGTAGATGATTATTCTAACCGTTTTTCATATAATTTTTTCTTTATTTTATTATTTAATTTATATTTTAAATGTATTTTTTTCATAAATTAGTAGAATCAACTAATTCAGGCAGAATTTCATAAATTTTCAGTAGAATCAACCAAGTTGATATGGGAATTATGAACCGTGCTCTAAGAAAACATGTTTAGTTGTCTAGTCCACATGTTTAAAAGAGCATTTGATTAGTGTTTCTTCTTATGATTTCTTTTTTACAAACATCCTCAATAAACAAAGAATCGATGCCTTGGCGACGAAGTAGAATAATTTTTTTAGCAAATGATAGGAAGACCATTTTGTAAATAAATCAAACCATCAGAAAAATAGGTATTAAATGATGTAATGCTCTACATGTGTTCTTTAGATTTTAATTAGTGAACCATAAAACTAAACCCATTTGTATCACAATATATTTTAACAATGAGTTTTGGCTGTGTTTTGTGACCTAATATAATATTTGTTCAATGATTTTAACAATGGGTATTCATAAGAAAAGAAGCAAGTAATGCAAAATAAAGAAAGAACGCCCTGCGGCATTTAATTTATCACACAATTTGGTTGCTACGTTTGTGGTGACTTCGTAGTTCGTACCGCCGCTGACCAATGACTTCTAAGTTTCAAATGTAGCTAAAAAATGCTTACTGAAAGTTCCAGATGACACTTCAAAAATGGTAACAATAGGATAATGTCATATTCTTATTAATTAGCCGTATTTAACTTCAATGATCAATGCGTGCATTGTAAACGACACAATTTGTGTGACACAAAACGTAGCATGCATACATACATGAAATACATGCTCCGTTTGCTAGCTCACTATTAGTTTGCAACTAAAAAAGATAAGAATGTTTAACTTTCAATGAGTTGAGAGATGTATCTACAAGTCTTTCGATTCAAATAATCACTAATAATTCCAGAGCTAATCTGGTCCTTTTATTTATACAAATGTGTGTGCAAATGTGCATTACACTCACCTAGCCCACACATGTGTTCCTTCTAATTTATACGTGTGTGAGGTTTTTTTTAAAATATTTATTCTATTCATACGGTCTAATCCCTAATAGAATACGGAGTATGTATTCTATTCACTATGCAAAATTAATTTGTCTATTCTCTAAGAAGACATAAAAAAATTGTTCACTATAATATGTATAAATCAAGAGGGGCTTGATATGATGATGAAGATTATCTTGAAAAGACCTAATGACTTTCTTAAAGTAATGGTGGCTAAAAAACATCTTTCATTTATAATACTACATGTTCAGGTATATTATCCCGGTCTTTTTCTATTCCGGATCCCAAAGCATCGCCCCAGTACGGAGCCCAACCGACGAGGATCGTTTCAGCCTATCAGGCCTATTTCAGCCCGTTGGGCCCGTTTCGGCCCAATCGGCCCATTATGGTAGGTTTGCACCCTCTCCCCATTCCCCTATAAATATGGGGTTTTCCCTCCTTATTAAGGATCCTTTTTTGGTTGGTCCCTTCTTCCTCACTTCCTCCCCCTTCTCTCTAGAATAGCTAGCTAGCAACCTCCATTAATAGAAGCTTCATACTTGTACTATGTAAATGGTGAGGAGAGCCTAATGAGAATGAGAGTGGCTTGAACATTAGCCTAAAAAGTCTCGTGGTTTTCTCCCTTTCGAGTTTCCAAGTTAAAATCATTGCTTATATTTTGTTATCATCGACATGCTACGAAACCCTCCCGGAAGAGGTGTTGGACTTCCGGGCTGCGGCGAATAAACTCAACATTGGCGCCGTGTTCAAAAAGAATTACGTGTTCTTGATTTTCTACAAAGTGAGCTGTTTTGGGTTTTTTACGGAGGGAGTCATACGAAGGAAAACCATACGCCATATGCCAGGCTGCCCAGCCCCCAACCAAGAGATCCCCCACCTTTTTGCCGCCTTGGGGGTCACCAGGAAGCTGGCACGATGAAGAAGCAGCTTCCGCAATCAATATGCCCTTTCTGCTCAAGAGGGAAGAGGCAGTTAGGGGCCATGGTTGCTGTCTTTTCACTGCAGCTGATACCTGACAAGGATGGGTTGGTGAAATGACTAGTGGGGCCATGGTTGACCAATCAGCTGCGTAGACCGTGCGTCCCAGCAACCCTTACTAGCAAACGTTTACTGAACCCATCCAAGCATGGCGATGAGCAGGACCGAACTACGGACCTCCAGTTTACAAAAATACAAGTAGGACACATTGGAAGGGCAGAACTCGCATCTCCATTATTTCCCTGATTGGCAAGTTAGGATAGCTCCCAGACAACCTGCATAGGTTCCTCTGAGCCCTGCCTTGCGTAAGGCCCTCACTGCCTGGAGCATCCAGTTGCATCGTTCATGGCCACTCGGCATTGACTGTCTCCGCTCGGCCTCTCAACGTTGCTCACCGATCCCATCTCAAGCGGTGTCGGTCATCTGAAAGGATAATCATCACGTCTAATATCTCAATGGTTGAGCAACCACGCCATGCAATATCGGTCAACTAGATAATTTGACCAGACCCTTATGTCCCGCTCGTGATGAAGGTATTAAAAACAGGTTGCTGCTCAGATGCAAGGGAGACCTCACATGAGCGCTCTGGCTGGCCAGCCCCTGGAACATTGACAGCCGCTCGGCCTTAAGTTACCGGCAGACCCCAGCTTTGGCATCGACGACACACGATCTGGCTCACTCAGGCGGCCCTGCTGAAGATAGAACAAGTTTTAACCCAGCCGCACGTTCTGGGGACCCAAAGGGAGACGCCCGGCTAGATATCTGCTCCCTTTCTGCTCGGCCACTGCTTGAGGATCTGCCATGCTGCCATCCACTCGGTTGATTCAGTCCCAGCTCGGCGTCACAAGTTGGCTCTCCGATATCCGCTGGAAGGATGTTGCCGCTCGGGCTTGATTCCATTTAAGCTCGACGGACTTTTCTAAAACAAATGGACAACCAACACCCAACGGGAACAAAGAAGTTGTTTCACAATCAGGAGGGACCGGCCCTCAGCATCCTCGAAGTAACTTGCCGCTCGACATCTTGAATCCAATTCGAGAGGGGCGCCTTGGTCCGACCATTTTCTCCCAGGCCCAGATGTCAGCCGCCTCTCATTGACGGACGAATTCTTGCCACCCAGCACTACTCCATCGCCGCTCAGCCCTCTGGGATACCTATTGCAACTCGGATAGCCACCTGAGAACTCAAAAGGCACCGCTCGGCGTGACGGGAACAACAACAACAACGACGACGACGACAACAACAACGACAACAACAACGACAACAATAACGACAACAACAACGACAACAACAACGACAACAACGACGACAACAACAACGACAACAACGACGACAACAACCACGACAACAACAACGACAACAAAAACGACGACAACAACAACGACAACAACGACGACAACAACGACGACGACAACGACGACGCCAACGACGCCAACAACGACAATGACAACGACGACAACAATGACGACGACGACAACAACGACGACAACGACGACGACAACGACAACGACAACAACAACAACAACAACAACAACAATGACAACAACAACGACAACAACAACAACAACGACAACAACAATGACAACAACAACAACAACGAAAACAACAACGACAACAGCAACGACAACAACAACGACAAGAACAACGACAACAACAACGACAACAACAACGACAACAACAACAACAACAACAATAATAATAATAATAATAATAATATGGGTTGGGTTTTCCCAAAGGGGACAAACCCGTTCCTCACCGACTACGTTGACTTAGCTCAGCTCAGGATCCAAAGGACCGGGCTAAAAGGGCGGGTACGACGAGCGGATGACGAACAAAAACAAAAGAATCCCAAGACGGGTCAAACAAAAGAATCCCAAGACGGATCAAACAAAAGAATCCCAAGACGGATCAAACAAAAGAATCCCAAGACGGATCAAACAAAAGAATCCCAAGACGGATCAAACAAAAGAATCCCAAGACGGATCAAACAAAAGAACCCCAAGATGGATCAAACAAAAGAATCCCAAGACGGATCAAACAAAAGAATCTCAAGACGGATCAAACAAAAGAATCCCAAGACGGATCAAACAAAAGAATCTCAAGACGGATCAAACAAAAGAATCCCAAGACGGATCAAACAAAAGAATCCCAAGACGCATCAAACAAAAGAATCTCAAGACGGATCAAACAAAAGAATCCCAAGACGGATCAAACAAAAGAATCCCAAGACGGATCAAACAAAAGAATCCCAAGAGGATCAAACTGTTCCTCACAGACTACGACGTCCTAGCTCGACTCAGGATCCAAACGACCGGGCTAAAGGCCCCCAGGTACGACGAGAAGATGAGGACCATTATCTTATGCCACACGATCGGCCCCTCAAAGACTACGACGGGCTAGCTCAGCTCAGGATCCAGATGACCGGCTAAAGGGCAGGTACGACAAGCAGATGACTACCACTATCTTATGTCGCAAGATCGGCCCCTCACAGACTACGACGATCTAGCTCAGCTCAGGATATAGAGGACCGAGCTAAAGGGCAGGTACGACGAGCAGATGAAGACCACTATCTTATGCCGCACGATCGGCCCCTCGGCGCCATCGTGTCGAGTTCACGGTCGGCTCACCCATTCCTTCCAGGATGGGGACCATCGTCTTATGCAGTACGATCGGCCCCTCAACGCCATCGTATCCAGTTCACGGTCGGGCTCACCCATTCCTTCCAGGATGGGGACCACCGTCTTATGCAGTACGATCGGCCCCTCAGCACCATAGTATCCAGTTCGTGGTCGGGCTCACCCATTCCTTCCAGGATGGGGACCACCGTCTTACGCAGTACGATCGGCTCCTCAGTGCCATCGTATCATGTTCACGATCAACTCATCCATACCTTCCAGGATGGCGACCACCGTCTTATGCAGCACGATCGGCCCATAAGCACCATCGTGTCTTGTTCATGTTTGGGATCACCATTCCTTCCTAGGATGGGCCCCGCCTCTGTATACCACGCCTGACACACCCTCCTTCATACATCACATCTCATATATTCATACATACATACATACATACATACATACATACATACATACATACATACATACATACATACATACATACATGCATTGTGCTCGTCTTATCCATATTTTTCGAGGTACCTTGGTTCGGGCCTCTTAAGGTCCTTGGGTAGCAAACCCATGTTGTAGTTCCTTACTCCCGCCTGGTGCATTCAGGGGGAGAGAGTCCGGGGAAGAGCGCCCCTTGTTCGATCCAGTCGGGAGGGGGAGCGCCTTACCAGCAGATTATGTACAAACGGGCAACTACCCACACCTCTAGCAAGACCGCTTGAAGACAAAGGTTCAAAGAAGACAAAGGAAGAACGCGAGCAAGAATATACTTTCTCGAGCAGATTCGCACGCTCACTACTCAAGAAACTGGGGGACTTGTGTTGAGGTATATTATCCCGGTCTGTTACTGTTCCAGAGCCCAAAGCATCGCCCCAATACGGAGCCCAACCGACGAAGGTCGTTTCAGCCCATCAGGCCTGTTTCAGCCCTTTGGGCCCGTTTCGACCCAATCAACCCATTAGGGTAGGTTTGCACCCTCTCCCCATTCCCCTATAAATATGGGGTTTTCCCTCCTTATTAGGGATCCTTTTTTGGTTGGTTCCTTCTTCCCCACTTCCTCCCCCTTCTCTCTAGAATAGCTAGCTAGCAACCTCCATTAATGGAAGCTTCATACTTGTACTATGTAAATGGTGAGGAGCGCCTAATGAGAATGAGAGTGGCTTGAACATTAGCCTAAAAAATCCCGTGGTTTTCTCCCTTTCGGTTTTCCACGTTAAAATCATTGTTTATATTTTGTTATCATTGACATGCTACGAAACCCTCCCAAAAAAGGTGTTGGACTTCCGACTGCGGCGAATAAACTCAACAAAATCATTGTTTAAGTGTATCAACCAACAAAATTAGCATTGATTTTGCTAGCTGCAACCACTGTAGTTAAAAATGCTTTTTCTAGATGAACATTGGCAGGTCAATCTAAAGCCATAAGATTTGTGACTAGTTTTGCAATGATTCTTATTTATTATGTGAAAAAAGACATATTTGATACAACTAAAAATGTAGTCGTGATAAAGCTTTTCAAAAATTGAAAACTCATAGAGACTAGTTGTAATAATATGCAATTTTTATTTTGTTCATATTGGATTATTTATTTATTTTTAAAATAAATCTTGTCCTATACATACTTGTCCTGTCTTTGGCAATGGTGCAACATCAATTGTGCGATAAACCGGACCACCACTCATTCTTCACATAACCATTCATGTTCAAAAGCACTCGATTCATTTATTCCTCGTTTTGCCTATTTCCCGTTCTTCATAACAATCCATTTTGGTGGTGGCGGGTGAGGCGGCGCGGCTGCAACCACAGAATTGAGCTCCGGCCAGGGTGTCCCCGGCCCTGGCGAGTACAAACCGGAGACGGGACAACCTCAAAATTTAAAGATATTTAGCATCATAACATATTAGGCAGCAAAACAAGAAAATAAAGGCCGGTTAGGACACCGGGAAAACTCGGTGGGAGAAAGCGGAGGAAGGTTTGAAAAATGTCGGGTTCGCCGCCGCCGCCGCCTCCCCTGATGAGGCCGGAATTTGACGTTGATAGGCTGAGCCAGGCGGTTCTCTGCTTCTCAGAGACAATATACCGGTCGAACGGTGTGTGGGAAGGGCCTGATCCATTGACACCCATAATTCCTCTCTTCCTCCTCCAGATAATGGTGGCCATTCTCTTCTCCCGCCTTCTCAACTTGGCTCTGAAACCTTTCAACCAGCCTCCCATCGTTGCCGAAATCATTGTATGAAACTTGTTTTCTTACAGCTCCGATTACTTTTTGAAGTACATGGGTTGATTTGTTGAATAAAATATTTGATTTTTTCAAATGATATTTCGTCAATTTATAAATACATACTCCGTATCATTTGAAATATAATTTTTACTGAATTCACCCAATTCCATCGTTTCAACCATAGTTTCTATAATTTGTATAGATTCAACTAATTTTAATGTTACTAAATGAACTTTTAATATTATAAAATTAAATAAATAATATTTTTCGAATGATCTTATTTATTGTATTAGAAAAATAGTAAGAGTGTAAGAGGCATAAAACTAAACAAATATAGTAACACCTCCAAGATTAGCATGAATATTATATAAATATAATGATATAATTTCAAAAGGATATCTTGTTTGTTTGATTGGACAATAAATAGTGTTCTAGCATTGCCATTTTTCAAACAAGTTACCACATTTTGGTTCATCCTTCATACTTCGGATATAGCATATTTCAACTGATCAATATTTAATAATCAATGCAATACAACAATATGATTTCAATTGATAGATTAATATATTTTAGTATGTGACTACAAAACTTGAGTATAATGAACACATGAAATGGAAAAATATTGTCAAAAGATTTGTATTACATATATAACACCATTTATTCAAATAAAAAAGTTGAGGATAGGAAAGGAACATGGAAGGTCAAACACTAATTAGTGAGTATTCATTAAAAAAATCTGATTGGCGTTGATAGAGAATATTCAAACAAAAGAGAGTAAATCAGATGATGGAAAAGTTATGTGTATATAACCAATTTAATTAGAGGTTCAAAAACAAAAAGGCTATGTTTTGAAAGAGCAAAAATACATCAACATCTTTTAATTTGTTTAATGTTAAAGACCTGTTCACTTGGACTTGTCAAGATTTCAAATCACATTAGATAAATCATGCGAGTATCAAAACATATCAACAAAGATGAGACTACACTCAAAATAGACCAGCCCAATTTAAATTATATCAAACCATTTCTAACTTCTATTGTACTAAACTAGTAAACTTGAATTGAAATGAACAATTGTTATTAATTGGTAGTGATATGACAACAGTTTTCTTAATAATGTTAATGTTTTTGTTTTGAAGAGTGGGATTCTACTGGGTCCATCAGCATTGGGAGGAATCAAGAGCTTCCGAAATATGCTCTTCCCTAACTACAATTTCGAGATAATAGAGACAATGGCCCATTTAGCCCTTGTACTCTACGCGTTCATGATCGGACTCCAAACTGACGTCAAAGCAGTCCTGCGAACCGGAACCAAGTCCAAGGCCGTCTCGCTTTCTGGCATCATGGTCCCATTCCTCATAGGCACCTCTTTGTATTACTCATTGCCGCATGATGAGAAGCCGGGTGGTTTTGTATTCTGTGGCGGCGCACTCACGGTCACTGGCTTCTCCACGCTGGCCATCATCCTAGAAAAACAGAAGGTTCTCCAGACAGATGTTGGAAAAGTTTCTTTATCGGCATCCTTAGTCTATGACCTGTCATCATGGGTGCTTCTTGCATTAGGATTAATGACTTCGGGGAGCAGTGAGAACATACATTGGGCCATTATCTGCAGTCTTGCATACATGGTGTTCTGTGTGTATTATCTACGTCCATTATTGGCATGGATGGTGAGGAAGACTCCTGAAGGACAGGGGTACAGTGAGTACTACATATGTTCTTTATTAGTCGGGATGATGGTCTCGGGTATCATCACAGATGCTATCGGGACGCACCCGATGATTGGAGCGTTTATTTTCGGGCTTTTGGTGCCTTCTCAGGTTCTTGAGGCAGCTGTTCTCGACAGGCTTGAGGACTTCGTTATGGGAGTCCTCATGCCCGTCTTCTTTGTGGTCTGCGGCCTTAGAACCAACATTGATGTCATGGCTAGTGGTGTGAGCGTGTTTACTGTGATCATGGCGATACTCTTCGCTTTCGCCGCTAAGACGCTAGGTGCTCTTTTCTCTACTTGCTTCTCTGGCTTGTCATATAAGGAGGCCATTGCTGTTGGAGTTTTGACAAACACCAAAAGTACCATGGCTATGGTTATTCTTGAGATAGGTCAAGTGCAAGAGGTATATATATGTAATTCACTCTTCCTTCTCTTCTTTTGTCTCAAAGCTCATTCAACTGTTATGAAAGCATATGTGTTAGCCTTAATATATAAAACTTTCGATCTGAATGTTGTAGGCTTTGAGTACTCAAACGTATACTGTAATGGTGGTTTCCGTATTGATGATGACAATCGTGGTGACGCCATTGACGACCATGTACCGTCCATCACAGAATTTGGTGCCATACAAACGGAGAACTATAGCAAAGGCAAAACAAAATGAAGAGCTACGAGTCCTGGCATGTATCCACGGAACTAACGACATTCCTCCCATCATACAGCTTTTAGAATCCTCGAATTCCACCGAGAAGTCACCAATTAGCGCATTCGGCCTCCAACTGGTTGAGCTCGTCGGTCGCGCTCCAGCCATGCTCGTCGTCCACAACTCCAGCCGGCGAGGGGTTTGCAGAAACCTAAGCCACGAGGAGGTCCAGACGAGCCAAATCATTAGCGCGTTTGACAACTACGAGCTTCGTTCAGAGGGAGTCACCACTCAGGTTCTAACCGCAAGGTCGGCTTTCCCAACAATGGCGGAAGACATTTGTAATTTAGCCAGGGAGAAACGGGCGGCCTTCATCATCCTCCCCTTCCACAAGCAACAGTCCCCCGAAGGTGACATGGAAGAGACAAATCCAGCAATTCAGAGCGTTAATGAGGGAGTGCTTGTCAACGCACCATGCTCGGTCGGGATCCTCATCGACCGCGGGCATTCTTACTCAAATGTGCCTGCCCGGAACATTGTGATGCTCTATTTCGGCGGGCCAGACGACAGAGAAGCGTTGACGTTAGGGCAGAGAATGGCCGAGAAATCAGGGGTACATCTGACCGTGATAAGGTTCATGCCGGGGAAAGACGTTCCGGAAATGGACCCGATGGGATTCTCCGGCTACAACAGAAGCTTCGTTAGCATAAGCATCGACGCCGACAAAGACAGAGAATCAGATGAATTATTTCTCAACAATTTCAAATCCGCCACGGCGGAGGACAAATCTGTTACGTACGTAGAGGTGGTGTTGAACGATGAAGAAGAAGCCATCAACGCTATAAAAGCCATGGACGGTCGAAAATACGATTTGTACATGGTGGGGAGGGGACGAGGGATAGCGTCGCCGTTAACGGCGGGGCTAGCAGACTGGTGTGACTGTCCAGAGTTGGGCGCAATAGGAGACCTTTTGGTGACGTCGGAGTTTGAATCGGCGTTCTCGGTACTAGTGGTTCAACAGTATATGAAATCGTTTAGATCTGGTGAAGAATCTGTACAATCTTCAGACAGGATGAGTCAAATGATGATCGATAGCAATACCAGCAACAATAACAACAATATCAATAGTAACAGCACTAAGGTGGAGGAGATGGCCCTCCGACGATCGGCATCTGAGAGTGAATCGGCATTCGAGTCATTTTCGAGCTTTAATGGGAGAGATCACATCTAATCACCTGCGGGTTAAATTTCTGAGTAATTCAAAGTATGAAACAAATCAAATTGTTACGAGTATTATTATTACTTTTAATTTCACAAATTCACAAGTCAAAAATTTTGTTATCGCACCTCAGTTTTTCATCCTGTTGTTCATCCATAGTAGCTTATTTTCAGTAGTTGGTTGAGCTAGTTCTTTTGATCAATTCATGTAGACCAAATTTATCAATCATTTTATTTTCTCTTCGACTTTGAAATGGAATTCATGTGTAGAATCGATAAGTCTCAAATGAAGCACTGAGGTAAACAAAGCCTTTATTTTTATCTACACATCTTTAAGAATTGAAGCATATAACTATTGTGTTTCTATTGTTTTATCTAGTGGTTGGCGGTTCGGGATTTGACTTATCCCGATCCCGACGCGGGAGTAATATATAAAAGCAAAAGATTTTTTGCTACATGACTCCCGCTCAAAACTATCCACATCAAGTGGTACACGGAGCCAAAACTCATCCCTCACCCAGTATAATTAAGAACCTAAATAAAAAACCTATAGTCATCACTCAGTGACCAAAATCCCATATTAACAGTTCCACTAAATTGCCTAGCTTCCCTAACTGAAGTACCACAATTAGCATTCCCAGCATAAAAGTAATTGATAAAAGTATAAAACGAATGACTGGAAGCTCATATACTTATATATAAATGCTGTTATTTGAAGTTGAATGCAGTTTGTATGTATTGCATTTACTTCACCAATCATGATTGTTGTTTAATAAAGAGTTGACATATTCAATGAATAATGTATATTTACAAATTCCTAGACATTCTTTACTACTATGAGATGGTAAAATTTCTAAATGGATGCATTTGTGAATTATACATGCACATGGGTTGGATTAGCTGATTAGGTAAATATTGATGTAATACTTGCTAAAAAAATATTAATTCATACGGAGTATCTGCTACAGAGTATGAATGACTTGATTTTCCAAGAAATCGAAGGGGGAAACGTGAATTTCACATGTCAAAATGAGCTTCTTCGATAATTATATAATCTTGAGAAGAAAATGGTTTCTGGTAGTTTCTCCAAACGGTTTCTCAGAGTTTTTCGAAATCTATAGGCACGATGATTTTTTCAGTTTTCCTCTATTCTATGCCCTTTTTTATCCAATCAGCAAGTTTAAGAGACTTTCTATACTCAAACATTCACCTTTTTTTGCCGGCTCACCAATACTGAACCGTGGGACTACCGTCCCATTTTACTTAGTCAAACTTGACTTTTCAAGTAAATGACGTCTAACTTTGATCGATTATATGTTTATATAGAGATAGTATTAATAATATGAAAGACCTATTAGTTCAAATAGGACTAAAACTATGGCAAAAACCTAAAACAGGACTTGCTATGTTTTTATTCCAAAATAGGACCATATGAGTCCTATTGGAAACATACCTATTTTTGCATTCCATTCTTACCCTTCCATTAAATATGAATTAAAAATAGTCAAAAGCCATAATTAAATGTTTAATTCATAATAAATTCAAAAAAAATCAAAAATTCGTAGAAATATAATTAAAAAATTTATAATTATTTTATAAAATAAAAAATTCAAAAACTTTTTTTTTTAAAATAATTTTATTTTTAAAAAAATTAATAAAAAATAGTAAAACTCCGTAAAAAAAATTAAAAAAATATGGATGCCTTTCCCACCGCCTGTACTACCTCCCAGCACCACCACCTCCGGTCGATGAAAAAAATGCCATTTTCCCAAGAAAATGCCATTTTTTTCTGAAAATGCCAAAAAAGTGGCATATTCCTCTTTTCGAATGCCAACATTTTCATTTTTTCTGCCATAAATATGACATTCGTAATGAACTTGGCATTTTTTTCCCCTGGTGACTGGAGGTGGTGGTGCTGAGGCGGCAGAGGCGGCGGCTATTTTTTTTTTTTGAGTTTTTATTTTTTTTTATTTTTTTTTTTATTTTTTTATTTTTTTGAAAAAAAATATTTAAATTTTTAATATCGAAATGTTTTTCTTAATTTTTTAGTATTTTTTACGAATTTTTATTATTTTTTATTATTTTATTAGGAATTAAAACATTTTAATAGCTATAAGGGTATAATTGTCCAAGGTACACATAATTAGTCCTATGCAAACATAGTTCATTTTTTGGTCCTATTCGTGAAAAGTGAATGACTTTTAGTCCTATTTTGATAATTAACTCTAATGTGAAAATGATATGAAAATGTTTTTTGTTAAAAATACTATCATAAAAGTATAAAATTATTAAATTTTGCATAAATATATTAGTTTAAATAGTTGGTCAAAGTTTACCACATCTGATTGGAAAAGTCAAAGATGACTAAGTAAATTGGGACGAAGGGAGTATTATGCATTTGCAAAAAAGTTTTTTTTTTACCAAAACAATACACAAATTTATTTAAATATGAAACAACTCATATTCCCTAACGGCTAATTACCATATAATATATACTCTCACATAAACCTTTTATGATGAACGTAGGAACGTCTTTGACTTTTACGTGTCTATAATTAAAATATAAATCTACCTTAATTAAACCCGCAATTTCCTGCGATTTTATTGAGCTTTAGAAAAGAAAGAAAAAGTCAAAAAGACAGTCCGCGGAGGAAAAGGAGACATAATACGAATCAAACTTGGGTCGATTTCAATAATAAGAAGAATATCGCTTTCGATACCATTCGCATCTCCGCATCCCTTTGTGTTTCCCCTTCAATCACATCATCTCTTACGTCCTCCATCTCACTCTCTCACCTTAAGGTTTGTATATTCATCCATTCATTCATGTAATAATAATCATCATCATAACCTAAAAACAAGAATACATACGTATATATGCATATACAGAGAGAATAAAGATACATATTGAATGGTTGGTGGGTGAGTAAGAGAGAAGATGGCGGAATTGAGAAAGGGGGGCTGCTATCCAAAGGCTTTAGTGGGAGTGAATGCGGGTCTGGCTTTTGCTGATGCTGTTATTGCGGTGCTTTCCTTCACCCAGGTACTCCCTCCCTACAAAAATCCCAATTTCAATTCATTTTTGTGTGTTTATGTGTTTTATCTTTCTGGGAATTTGATTGTTTGAAGTTGTATGCGGGGTTGTCTGGGATTCATGGTTTTTAATGTGCTTTATAATTTTCTTTTCGTGGTGGTTTCTGAGAGTTTAGACTTGAAACTCCATGGGTTGATTAGTTCTTCTTTCTTATGAGGGAGGAAGATGAAGGCGTGTCATTTAGATTAGAAAGTTGAATGCTTTTCTAGTAATCATATTTTTCCTTTTGTTCTATTTTCTCTTGATGTTTCGTTATTCATAATTGATGCAAAGTCTACTTCAAACCTTGGTAAATAAAATTGAAACCAAACCTGTATGTTCTCCGCCCTTCCGCAGCAGATTGATGTTTCCTGAAATACTGATAAAACACAATAGCTCCATCCGCCAAACAAGTTCCCACTTTGACTCGCATATTTTTACAAGTTCCCACTTTGACTCTCACATATTTTTATGTAAATGTAAAAAGTAACCAGATTTACTTAAATACCCTTGATTTGTGTCAAATCATGCAAAGAATTGTGCTAACAGTGATATGTACTCATTTTAAAAAGCTTTTTATGGAAATGAGAACTTTATTTTGGGACATTCAATAAGGAAAGGGAGAACTTGTTTTAGGGATGGCTATTCACGATATACTAGATGTTTATTGTGTACCTAAACGATGCCAACTGTAGGCTTAAAAAACAACACTCATCTACTAATTACCAAAATAGGGAGAGCTTTTGACCATATATATGATACTTCATGGTGTTAAGTTTTAAGTGTATAAAATACTCTATGATGTCTCATGCCGTTTTCTGAATATGTGTTTCGAATTTGCTTGCATGTTTTCTTGACTATGTAGATGTACCGTTGTATGTGCTTGACAAACTTTCTAGTAACATTTTTCTTTCATGTATGCGCCTTTAATTGTTTCAGCTGCTGAGAATTCATTCCAGAAATGCACATATTGGATGGACTCGCCAGAAAGTAAGGCAAATAATTATCAATCCTCTTGTTTCTCTGTACTCTCTGTTTTCTGCAATGTTCAATAAAGGGCTTTAAAGCCTTGAGGCTTTTTGCATTTGCAACGAGGTGTAAGCCTCAAGGCGGTTTGGTGTGTAAGCCTCAAACTTTTTACTGAACTTCCTCCTCCTCCTCCTCCACATCATCATCATCATTACCCCAGTGCCGCAAAGGCTCCCACCTACGGTGGGGTAAGGGGGACTGAAATGTAATATATTAGAGTCATATATGAAATCGATAAATACATGTCACAGACCACTACCTTTAATGGAAAGTTTTTAAGATTTATCATCCTTAATAACAACAAAAGAAGTTGATAAAACGATAAAGATGGAGTAGAAATGATTGGATCCTGGAAATTTTGATATTGTGGGGCAATTTGAATAAAAGGAAACAATAAAAGAAGTTATATTACTTCTGTTGCTATTGTTTAAAATTTTAAATAAAAATAAAATAAAAAACAGTTGAATATGTTCATGTTATTTGAACCTTACCGGAAACAACTTTAGGCCTTTTGGGCGGAATTTACACTCTAGGCCTTATATAGTAATAACAAATTCATCCTCAAAAAATGTCTCGACGTGTGCATATCAACTGTTTGGGGTATTAGCCTCTTAACTTGCAATAGGGGTGTTGTACTCGGCACCTATTTTCATCGCATCAGTGTGAGACATGCCTCATAACGTGCCTCATAACCGTCATGGCTGGTCGGCTGGATGTGATACTAATACATCTTCATGGTTGGTGTTTTGACTTTTTTTAACTGTACAACCATGGGGGACGTAAAGTGCTGTATATTTGTAATTTATCCAGTATGTTTAGCAGAGTTGTTGTGATGGAGATATAGATCACCTGAGAAACTATTTGTACATAATTACAAATTTCCTTGATAAAAATGTCACTAACAGATGCATGTTTACCCAGAATAATACTTCAGTTTCAATGATCTAAAGTCTAAATACGTTTTGAGTAGTAATCATATTATGTATATCTATATTCATTATTCTTTATACAAGTACCAATTAAATTCAATTATGGGTAGTGCGTGCACACACACATATATATCTATGCATAGTTGGTGACTTGGTGACTGGTTTTTTGTGATTCACGATATCTAAAACCATAAGCTGGATTTATTTTCGGTTAGAAAGGTTAAAAACATATACTCCCTCCGTCCCCCTGTTATTGTCTTATTGCGGTTTACGATGCTTGACCGACGATAAAGCAAACAGATCCCTGTCCGCACTCAAATTATTTTTAGGAAAAAAAATTACATATTCTGAAACTACATTAAAAGATTTACAAAGTCTCAAAAACCAGAATCAAATTTGATAAAAATTTGATAAATAAAGTAAGAGATTAAGAGTGATTTGTGTTGACCAAGTGAATAGGAAATGGGACAATAACAGGGGGACGGAGGGAGTATTAATTAACATGTAAAAAAATTCATTTTTTTCAGGGGGCTGTGTAGAAATCCAATGGTTACTGAAAGCCCCTTAACTGTACTAATTATCAATTTTTTATTTTTCTCAAGATAAGGACATAAATGATGTATTTTCATTATACAGTGACTACTAAGTCCAATTATGCTTTGTAAACATATAAATGTAGGGAAAACATTTAAATATAGGAAAAAGATCACTAATAAATCCAATTATGCACAGTTGTGGGGACCTTTTGTTTTTTATGGTGTTTAAATTGCTAAGACTAAAAGCCGGACATATACTACATGTTGAGGGTTTAGTAAGTGCCCTTAAACTTGTATGTATTCAAATTGGCTTGCGCTACACTATAGTCTTGTTTCATTGATTTATCTGTCAAGCCCTGCCCTATATTGATCTCGAAGTTCATAGAATTGAATGTTTTCTTGCAGGTATTTCATCTTATGATTGGGTTGTCAAACTTGGGTAAGTTTCTAATATTTACACAACAACATATAAAAGAAATGCTACATACAAAATTGATTGATCTTTCAAACCATAATGGCCTTTGAGCATTCCAAGCATTTCATATTGCTGAAATTGCGGACATCCTTCAAATTCGTTGAAGCATTTGTTTTTTGTTTCCAGTATACAAAAATTATTGTTATTATTATTTATTTTACTGATATTATTATTATTATTATTATTTTATGGGAGAGAAACCAATAATGAAGATATACACAAAGATAGTAAGCTCTGGCACAAGATTGATCATATAGGTCTTGATGCTTGCAGGATATTTTCTATACTTTGTGTTGGCCCCTGTTGCTGCTTGTGATGGTTGGGTTTGCTGGTCTCAATCCTGTGGTTTTTTGGTCATGGGTATGCCATATGTGCGATCTAGTCATTTCAGTTTCGATATGTAACAACGTAATGTAGGGAGCTTTAACACAAATAACATACTATGCTGCAGCTTGCCCCAAAATTCTATTTCTTGGTGCATTCCTTCTTCTTCTTTCATTCTGGTATGCGTTTGCTCCCCTATCCTCTGGTTCTCTTTAATATAAATTTCTTCCAAGTCTGACTTTCATTGCAGATAAATGTAACACATAAATTGCTCCCAAACGTCATCTTTAATATAAATTTCTTTCAAATCTCTTTAATATAAATTTAACACATAAAATGCTAATACGACCTCCATTCTTTTTTAATTGCAACCGTTTGACTTTCATGTTTGCCAACACACAACTTTGACTGTAATTATATTTAATTACATATTAATAAACATTATAAAAATTTAATATTTTGAAAGTTCACATTAAAAGAAATTTAATAATATTTTATTATTTTATACATGGTCAAAGTAAGGTGTATATTAAAGAAGTACTCCGTATTAGAACCATACACAAACGTCATCTTATAAGATAACTCCATAGTTAGCTCTTGTTATATCACTTATATGTAAATTACTTGATTCTAATTTGTAGCATTGGCACTTAAATTTACAACAATGAGCCCGTTTGGTAACACTGATATTGGCTGAATCGGCCGATTCTACTGAAATTTATGAAGTTTTGGCTGAAGTGGCTGTATTGGTTGATTTTGCTGATTTATGAAAAAATCATATTTAAAATATTCGTTATTAATATATAAAATGAAAAATTATATGAAAAATAGCTAAAATGATCCTCTACAGTAACTTCAGCCAATACAACCAAAAAAATAACTTCAACCTTACTTTTTCTTATTATTACACAATTCAGCGCGCGAAATCAAAAGGTACATGTTTGGTGAAAAAACTGGCTTATAAGCCCGATAAGCTGAAAAAGGGGTCACCAAACGGGCTCTATATATGGCTTTACACTTTCGTGTTAACATGACATCATTTGTTAATTCCAAAACTAGATTTTTCCTTTTTGGAAAAGTAATGATGGAACCTTTTGTTGAAATATTTAAGGGTTGACCTATGTCATCAGTCAAATGAAGAAGAAGATGATGATGATGGATATAATTCTCAAGAAGCTCTGTTGGATAAGACCAAACCATATTTATATGCCGACAGTCACAATAAATGTTGCTCGTTTCATGCATTTCGTGTGGGGAGTCGCCAGAGAGTTGTGATATTGGTAACATGTTGGATTTACATGTGCCTTTGGTGTAAAAAGTAAAATAAAAGAGTTATTTTCAGTTTTCAACTATCTAATAATGCCATTTTTTGGCAGGTCACATTTCTGGTTTTTGTATTAATGCTGGCAGCTTCTGTGTTAATATGGATTGGGAGAGGGCAAAACCCTATCGATTCGGCTGTTGTGGCACGGGTATGATGAATTTATTCTTCTTTGATGGTTGAAATTTTACCCCCCCCCCCCCCCCCCCCCACACACACACACAGTATATATATAGAGAGGGGAGTGATCAAATCGGGGCAGACTGACAGAATTCTGTCAACCCAAAAACCAATACTCATGCACCCTTATGTCACTCCAGCAGTTCAGATTTTTCCCTTGTTAGGTTCTCCCATCCTTTTCCCTACCCGATTTAGATTAAATGGTTCCACTTATGTGAATATATGTTTTCCAGCATCTATAGACTATATTCACTAATATCGAATCCTTTGATCTGGGTTGGGGTCGGGTTGGAACGAATGGGATAGTCTAATGAACAGTTTTAAGTGAGATTTTTACTATGTGTCAGAGCAGCCTAATGAGGTTATACTGCACGCACATGCGTGTGTGAATATATGTTGGCTGTAGTTGCAGTTTGTGTTATCCTTGATCAAATGAAATAAAGTAGAGTTTAAATAATCATCCAGGTATATGTAGATCTATTTTCCATTTCAGTGCTTTTGCTGGGCGCAGCCTTGGCATGCTATGGTAAACGTCTCCTTCTCCATTACTAATAAAGCTTTCCTCTAATTAACAAACTTCCATTGCATATACAACATGTGTTCCTAATCATTTTGTTCCTTTTCTTTTTTGCTACACGTTGTTTTCCCTGGCCCCACCACAGAGTTCCATACCATTACACTTTCACTTTTTGTGGTTTATATGCTTTCCGGGCATTAAAAATTTGTGGGGAGCAGGATCAAATTGCACAATATGGTTACATTTGAATCTCTTATTAAACACCAAGGTTTCAAATGGACCAAATAAGCACAAATTTGACGTTTTTTTTGTCATTTTTGAACATCCACAATAATTTCCCATCTTCTGAAAATTTGAAAACCATTACTGTTCTTTTTCCTTTGTTTTTTATATCTAAAAATAACTTAATTGATGTATTTAGATTTAGAATATATAATTAATTTCCAACTAAGAAAAAATCATAAATATTATAATGTAACTAAATTTTTTAATTTCGTTAATTCAATTTAACAAATGGATATTTCTTAAAGTTCTGTAAAGATTGTATGAAATGAAAAATCCAAAATATATTTTCAACTTCTGAAATATGAGATGTTCGCAATTAAAATATCAAATTGTGTATTCTAAAACTACATTCATCAATAAAATTAGTTTATACACCAAGAGAAAAATAAGACTAATTTGGCCAAAATGAGAATTCACAAGTAAGAAGAGAACCATTAGTGTCCAAAATTGACGGACCATGAAACCTTAGTGGACAAAATGAGATTCACAAGTAAAAGTGTACAATTTGGTCCACGCGAAACCTTAGTGATCAATATGAGATTCACGTGTAAGTAAGCATAGTGTCCAATTTGATTTCAAGAAGGTTTCGTGGACTTTAAAAATCATTTATTGCACCCTGACTTTGGCTATTTTTATTCAATGCTCAGGACTTGTGTTGTTTCTGAGAATGAGAAAAGTCAAATCCGAAAGGTCCTCATCAGAAATGTGGAAGGTGACTAAACTGTACAAGTGTACACATGGCTTGTAAACTACATGGTCCCAAAATGTTGTTTTCTTTTAGAAATAAAAGTTGTGGTGCTGGATGCAGGTTGCAGGGTTGGCCGGTGTTTCCATTTTATGTTTCTCGTCAAGTGCAATCATTGCTATATTTACAGATATTCCTGTATGTATCTCCACTACAGACCTTATGATTTTTTTTGATAGCACAGGATGTTTTTTAAGAAGATTTGTTCTAAGTAAAAAGTATCTAATTACTGCAGCTGCTGTATCACTGGCATGGGCAACAGATAAATGGTGTCACACCTCTCCTCTTGGTGTTGTACTACTTTTTTGGTATACGCTACTTTTCCACCATTCCATCTCATGTGCTGCGCAAGTTTCTTATGCTACACCAAGATAACATCATCATAAATCGTCTTTTCTGGGGAAAACTTTTTTCAGGATCCTCAGTGCCATCAGCTTTTGTGTTGTGGGTGATGAGAGAACTGCCACCTCCTCTAACAAGTCACTGGACACAAGGAGGGCCATTTAGGACAATAACCTTCTTCTGTGATAGCTCTGTGCCAGTGGAGCATCCTCAAAGGTGGACTGCTGTGGCAAGCGTCCAAAACCAGGTCTCCTCATTATTCCACTTTTAATAGCTTGTGTGTTAGGCTTCAACTCTATTTCTTTTCCAGCCTGATTTCACTTTGGAGGAATTCCATAGTTTGTCAGATGGGTAGACGTACTCCAAAAGAACTTATATTCCTTCAAATTTAGGAAGGCAATTACCTAGACATCCCCAAGTATTTCTCTTCATTCCATTGGGGTTGAAAAATAAGAGTGGATTGACCTAAGTACGCTCTAATTACCTTTGACATCATTATTCCCCCAATGTTCTGACATAAAATAAAAATTCCAAGCAACGTTTTATTGTCTACCTGATAATGAAATAATGATTTTTTTTGGAACCCGGTATGCAACCAAAAGATCCCAGGAGGGATGTTTTGGGATATGGGCTAGGGGCCAGGGAACTCCATACCTGTTTATTAAAAAAATAAGGAGTATAAACTACAAAGAGTAGGAGGACCAGACCAGACCTGAAATAATGAAATTTATATTCTTCCATTATTCCTTCCTATGAAAATCAAGTTTAATTCTCTCTGTGGGCTCTATACACCTTCCGCATATAAAACCAGCTGTTTATTTATGATCCAAAAGAACTACATAATAAATCATCGTAAGGAATTCAGTCCGCCTGCATTCATTCATTTATGGTTTTTGTAACAAAACATATTGTTTACTTATTTGGTGATGTGAATAGTCCATTGATGCAGCAGGTATCAAGAGCAAGCCCGATATGATGGATCATGTGCCATAGATGAATGAGTGATGATACTCGAACCAAAGGTCATTGACTATATTGACCCTACCAATAGCCAGTAATGAAGTGTGAAGAGAAACAACAGAGAAGCGCATAGGTTTGCTCTACAGTGTGAGTAAACGCAATCAGCAAGATTGCCCATTGCAGAGCTCCTTGACAAATCAGCATCTTGTACATACCCAACTGCTGCTACAGAACAGAAACTGTTACTTTTAACTTATTGTTTACTAATATAGTAATATTATAGGCATTCTTGTTGCATGTAAAGAACGTTCTACCTTGTAGTTGTTCACATTCAGGACGGTAGAATCAAGAGGGATTTTTGTGTGCTTACACATCGGGAATGGGCAGTGGTCCACATGGTCCCATAGCAGGCGGTGCAATTTCCCCCTTCTCGTGACTGAGAATGTCCCATTTGTATGGGACCAGAACTGGTAACCGTACATAAACCTGTTTGGTTCATACATCATATAGCTTTGTACCAGTCGTTCTAACTTTTAAGCCCGGTCCTAAAAGAATCGGCAGGTTGGTTAGACCACTACATACCCAACTTCATCATGCTTCCGGTTTAAGGTTCTCTGAATGGGAGACCAGGACTGCAGTGTCTGCATTTTTGGTCTGGGGATATTCAATTACCATGGCTGAAGTTCTATCAAGTTTTTCTTCTGTAGTGATCATGTGTTTCAGTTTTTCCCGTGATTTTTATAAAACTTCAGATTTAGCCCTTTTCTATCGGAGTTCCATGAACTTCTTGAAATCCGTCCGCGACACAGATTCTCATATTACTGAACTGCGGCCAAAGTAAGAATCTGAATGCGCAAGTGTTTATTTGTTCAAAAATATTTCAAAAATATGTAATCAAAAATTTAAACATCTGAAGAAAATCGAAAAGTTTCATTAAAATTGAGTGCTCTGATAAATAAAATATTATACAAGTCGACAAGAAATCCAAATGATCCAATAAATCTGGGATAGGCTATGAAATCGGCGCATAGAAAAACATATGTAGTACAATATTTTATTCTATTTTCATTTGTTTTTATTCTTTCTTTTTCATGTCCCCTGGTTGGCAGTTGGCTGGTTGTAATGAATTTGGGAAGATTCTGATAACTTTGGCTCGATTCCAAATTTTTTGAACTATTGAAAAATCGAAACATTAATAATTACGAAATGAAAAGTAGAAATAAATTGGTAAAAGAAAAACCAAGACAAATTTGCTTAAGCTAAGACCAAAAAATATCTATCTTTAAAAAATAGGATTAAATATTTTCTTTTTCCTAAATATGATTAAATATTACATTTGTACCCCCAATAAGTTAATTAATATAATCAATTGCCCCTAGTTTTCTTGTACGACTAAAGTCAGCCCGTTAGTGGCGCAGTAGCCTGGCGACAATCTGAAGACGTGAAGGCAATGGTACTCCAATCCTAGTGTATTTTTTCAATCAGAAATAAAATGTCCTGTTTATGGAATATTAAACATTACGTCTTATTTTGGGAAAATGACAATGTTTTGAGTTTTGATCCTGAACCAAAACAAGCTCTTAAATGAAAGAATCCAGGAATTCACACGAGATTTTGCAGACCAAAGTCTGTACAATAACTCAAAACGTCAAAAGTAACAAAGTAAAAAGTTGAAGAAAGTTGGAACTTTTTTAAAATGCAAGGGAAAGAGGTTTTCATGCTTGTCTGGTAAGATCCATGAAAACATGGACACTCTTTACTCCCGAGAAAGCCAAAGCTGCGTTTTCTTGGCTATGCAAAGACCAGAAAGGGAAAATATGAAAGACCATCAAACCTATGTGTTTTCTTTTTCAAATTTCGAAGCCCTAAAAATGTGTTGCTTCCCTTAATTGAAAGGTCTTGGCTATGCAAAGACAATCAATCTTTACAAATGCAAAGGAGCACAAATACAACTCTGATGCATCAAACAATGTTTGATGAGAAAACATGGATGACCCTCCGGAGCCAAATTACTTGACAATTCTTCCCACAGATCCAAAATCTTCGGGAGGCCACACCTATGTAAAGTAAATAAATAAATAATCAATATCTTAAATAACTTGCAAACAAAAAATGCACTTCAGGGTCAAATGTAACGTTGTCTGTATGTGCATAAACTGATAACATTTGCATTTCATTGTTCTAAAGTTTTGAAATAAAGAACTTATCGGAGAAAGTTTGCAAGGTAATGAGTTGGATGTTAAAAGCCCATAAGGAAATCAAGAATTAAATGAAATCAAGAATTAAATGAAATCAAGAATTAACTTACAATCCATATGATTCTGCCCTCAATAAGCCCATAAGGAACAGGCCCGAATTCCCTTGAATCGTTGGTATTATACTTGAAATCTCCTTCTATCCAAACATGCCCTTTAGGTACCTATCAAGCATCACATCCATTCCTAAGCACATGAAATTTACTCCACCCAAATACTGAGCAACAAAACGGAAGAATTACAAAGTAGCACTGCCCAATGATGCAAATGTGAGGATGTTTTCATCGAAATTCTGTATTTGAGGCCTGAGTTGTCAATATGAGGGGTAACAAAATTTCTCTGAGAGAGCACAGAAAATGGCAATAAATATGGTAGCTTTCCAATATTGATGTTGAAATACAGATCATATTCCACAAACTAAAATTGCCAAGTTTTTTTAAAAATTGGTATTTTTATGCTTGGGTACCAACAAACAGAACATAAAATAAAAATCTCACCTTCAACATTTTTATATAAGTAAGGTGATAGTAGCAGCATACATTGCTACTACACAACACATAGCAGTTGCTGTAAGTATACCGATAATAGCACCCTTCACCACCACTATCTCCCTCACCACTGACTACTATCCGGCACCGTCTTCAACAGTGGTTGCTAATTGTTAATGTACCGTGTCAGTGACATAAAATAAAGTTTTAAAAAATGGTATTTTTATGCTTGGGAACCAACAAACAGAACATAAAATAAAAATCTCACCTTCAAAATTTCATATATAGGTAAGGTGATAGTAGCAGTATACATTGCTACTACACACAACACATAGCAGTATAATAGCACCCTCCACCTCCGCTATCTCCCTCACCACTGACTATCCGGCACCACCTTCAACAGTGGTTGCTAATCGTTAATGTACGGTGTCAGTGACAACTGTGGCTATTACTACCCAGCTGCATCAGCAGTATCCGTAATATTGTCACCGTGCAACCTTAGCAGCGGCGGACATAGTGTAAAATAGGACCGCCTCCATTTTTTCCCAAGTAGGTAAAATTAATCCAAACATTTTAATACCGTTCCTGCTACCACACCTATAGTAGCTGTTCTTATTTGTAAGTTTCGCCTCTATTTCAAAATTCCTTGGAGCTACTTGCCAAACAGGATAGTTATATGGAGTTCCCCATCATATAAAATCCTAGAAAGCTATAACCAAGAAGAATAACACACTGAAAACTTAATTTGATTGGTTAAAAGAATCAATTTCCCATAATCCCTCCCAAACAAACAATAATAGGCAAATACAAGCAAAGAACGTAGCTTTAGGGATTCACAATTACCAGAATAGTTTCTTCTTTATCGCTATTCCTCGGGTCTGCAAGAAATTTAACAGTATCCCCAGCCACTCCCACCACCCTCTTGTTGATTATTTTCTTCGGGTTTTCGGGGCTCCGAGCAAGGACCACATCTCCAGGGACTATTTTTTCAAACCGGGTTGACAACCTTTCGGCCAAGACAAAGTCGCCGGTCAAATTGAACGTCGGCAGCATACTGGGCCCTCTGGTCTGCCAAAATAGAAAATGAAAAGGGAGACATGGGAGTACGCCATTTGACCTTTTAAGGAAGATGCGGCAATTAGCTTACCAGAGCGAATGTGCAGACATAGGCATTGGTAATGTGAAGGGCGCAGAAGAATTTGCCAACCCGAAAGGATTGAAGGAAGGCTTCTTTGATGAATGGTGCCAATTTTTGCAGAGTTTCTACCCCCATTCTCCACTCGGTCACTCACCTTCAGAAACCATGATCATATGATATTGATTTCTACTAAAATCGACATTTCACAAGTAATGGCCAATTAGAGCATTCAAATTAAACAATTCAATAAAAAAGGAATGATTGACAAGAATAATTTCATCTTTTACCAGTCTTTTCATAATAATTCCACTTTTATATAATTCCAGAATATTCTCATATTTGCACCTCATCTCAATCTCCTTTGTTGAACTCTGACTTTTTGATGACCTACTATACCAGATATTTTATCTTTTTTTAAACCTTATATAAATAATATCACCTTTCACAATCTGCTCAAAATGGTTTCATATTTTCTTTTTTCTCCCTAAAATTAATCTTTCTTTATTTTCATTCCTAGACATTTTTTATTACTTCTTCTATCATTTTGTTCTTATTTCTTTTCCATTTTTATTATTCTATTTCTCACTCTATTAGGAATTCTTTTTGTAAAATTTCTATTCAAAATAGCTCTTTTTTGTCATTTTCTTTTTCTTTCAGTACTTCTATTTCATTTCTCTTTTTATGTTTTTCTTCTTAATCATTCTCTTCTTATTAAAGATCTTATTTTAAAAGTGAAAATATAAAAGTGGAAAAATAAAAATAAAAAAGACAACATAACAAAAGGTAAAGTGAGAAAAAGATCTTTAATAAAAAGAAATGATTAAGAAGAAAAACATAAAAAAGGAAATGAAATAAAATACGGAAAGAAAAAGAAAACGTCAAAAAGAGCTGTTTTGAAAAGAAATTTTACAAAAAATCTCTAGAGTAAGAAATACTACCTCCGTCCCAAATTGATTTGCAAATTTGACTTTTCTTAGTCAAACAGTTTCATTTTATTTGCTTAATTAGGATGTCAATTTTTTAATTATATTCTAATTTAGAGATTAAAAGTTTGAAGAGATTTTAATGTAGTTTCTGAATATGTAAATATTAATTATTAAAAATTGAATTAATTATCGATATGGAGCATTGACTTTTATTATTGGTTGACCGAAAATTGTTGACTTTGCAAAATAATTTGGGACGGAGGGAGTAGAATAATAAAAAATGGAAAAGAAATAAGAACAAAATGATAAAAAAATTAAAGGAATAAAAAGTTTCTAGGAATAGAAAAAAAGAAAGAAAAATTTTAGGGAGAAAAAAGAAAAAAATGAAACATGAGACCGTTTTGAGCGGATTTGTGAAAGGTGCGATTATTTATTTAAGTTTTTCAAAGAAAAGGTAAAAAACTGGTATAGTAGGTCATCAATAGGTCAGGGTCCAATGAAAGAAGATGAGGTGCCAAGATGAGATTATTCTGGGATTACGTAATGTGAGATTATTATGAGAAAACCAGTGAAATGTGAAATTATTCTTGTCTATTTTTTCCATAAAAAAATATTGACAATTAACAAAATAGATACTCATATTTCTTCCAAAACAAATAGATACTCGTATGAATGAATGACATAGATATTACCTACACACTTTTAAAAGACAGAAACATGACTCTTATTTGTTTTTCCAAAAATGTGATTTACACGGTTCACTCTCTGGCCCATCTCACTCTAATAGACACCGTGGACTCTCCATCTCCCGTTTCGAACAAACATTGATGCATCCTCTATGCAGATCTACCAGATGGAGCGAAGGACACAAGTCACACAACCAGCACTGACTTCCTCTCAGCCATTGGACACACGCCGCTGCCGTCTTTGTCTCTCTCATTCTGCCACCGCCCACACCGCACTCCAGCCGCAGATGCCCTGCCGCCACACCGCACTCCAGCCGCCGACGCCTGACCGCCTTACTGCAACTCTTCTTCTTTTCATTCTTCTTCGCCGCTACTTGTCCTACCCGTCATCGATGGCCATGCATCCATGTTCCGTTAGCCATACAGGTCGTGGATCTAACTCGTTGTCCAGATTTCTGCTCCGCCTCTCTGTATATGTTGTCCAGATTTATGATTTTGCCGGTCGTTAATGCTAGGATGAGGGGGAGGGGGAAGGGCGAGCTGGCGGTTAGGTTTACAGGAGGTGGTGCGGTTGGGGGCTTGGGTCGGAAGCTGGGGCTGAGGTGTGAGTAGGGGTGGACCCGGGCCGGGCCTGGGCGGGCTTTTTTTGGGAAAGGGAGAACCGGAACCGGCCCGGGTATAAACCGGATACGGGTCGGGCCCGGTTCTATGTTTTTTTGCTTTATAATTAACCCCCGACCCCCCAACCTCCCCAAAACACCCAGCTCTAACCAAGAAAAAAAAATGAAAAAAAAAACCCCGGGCCGGTTAAATACAAGGAATAAATGACTTTTAGTCACTTTTTGGGAAAATTTTAAAACATGTCACATTTTTGTCTTTTTCATTCATTTTAGTAATATTGAAATAAAAAGGCCTATTATAATACGAGTAGGGCTTTTACCTTCAATATTACTAAATTAAAGCCAATTTTCAAAAATGTGACCATTTTTCTAAAAGGACAAAAATGTGACTAACATATGTCACTGCCTATTGTTTATGTCACTATGGATTTTACGTCACTATAATTTCTGTTACTTTTGAATGTTGCTATTAGTTTTCATGTCACTTTCATATGTCAATATCGGTTTTCATGTCACTTTCATATGTTATTATTTCCGTCAAACGTGTCATTGTGACGTTGATCATGTCACTATGTCTCCGGAAAATTTCTGGTGACCTTTTCCGGCCACAATTTCAATTCAACGTAACAGCCGCCCGCTGCCACTATGGATGAGACACCTGCTGCCCTACCCCCAACCATCCTCTGCTCCCCCACATCTGCCTTGCTTGCACCCTCCCCTGCCATAGCCTACCCCCACTCGTGCGCCGCCCATTAACCATCCAATACTGCCTCCAGCCACCCCACCGGCACCACCAACCCACCGCCACATGCTGTCGCGGTGGAATAAAAAAGGAGAATAAAAGAGTCAAGACAATAAAAATAAAAAAGGAAAAGTTTTAGGAAGAAAAAAGAAAAATGACATGTGGGACCGCTTGGTGAAGATTTATGAAAGGTGAGATTTATGGTTGAATGATTTGCAAAGAAAATGAAAAAACCTGGAATAGCAGGTTATCAACCGGTCAGGGACCAACGAATGAAGATGAGGTGCAAAGGTTGGATTATTCATGAATAACGATAAAGTGGGACCAACGAATGAAGACCGCTAAAAGGTTGGATTATTAATTTCCATTTTCCCTAAAATTATTTGATAAAATCAATAATACTCTTAGAAATTTGGCCTTTTGTATGAATATTATTGATTATATACGATACACAAAAATGTGACTTGTTTTTAAGTTTTCAAAAATGTGACTTATCATATCATTTGGCCCTCATTTAATATTATATTCATTATTTTGATATTCCATTTGAATAGTTAATAATTAATCAATGCTTCTTTGCCAAGTATCTAGTGATATGATGACATCACTGTGACACTCTCAAGGAGGTCACAAGTTCGAATCTCATTTCAGTTCAAAGATATTGGTCTTAACATAAAATAGATACTATAATAGGTTAGGACACACCAATGACTGCCACACCAACGCCGGTGACGGTGCCGCCGCCACAGTGACTTTATTATCAACATATAAACATTTTATAGTGACTCCATTTCCTAGTGTCATATAGTCACTCCACCTCCGCTATCACTGCCGTTACAGTGACTTCAGTGTCTACCTTCTCCAGTGACTCCATTCTCCGTCGTCATATAGTGACAGTCGTATAATGACTATCACGGGCAGTGACATCACATAGTGACGCCGACCCTCTTCACTTCTGATTGTAGTCAATGTCAAATCCGGCGAATTTAACAGCTGATGTGCAGTGGCGGCGACGGACGAAGCAGTTGTTGTGACAACGACAGTCGATACACAGGCAGCAGTCTGGGGAATACAGAGCTGATCGGCGATTCCGCTAGTCGGATGAGCTAGGCCGTGGTGCAGATTGCTGTCGGCGGAGCTAAACGAAGGTGCAATTGTTCTCAACGATACTAAGGTACGATGTCATAACAAGAAAGGTGGGAGATGGAGGTGAAGCCATGGTGGGAGCTGAGAGGCTTAGGGCACTCATGATCGAAGAAGACATCAATAGACCTAAGATGCATGCATGAATGATCGAGGCAGCCGATATTGTAGGAGGTTGTGACGGAAAGATGTGATGTGGAGATCGGTTAGGGTTAGGAGCCTACTGATTCCTTGTTTAGTCATTTGAGAAAATTACCACTAATATTACTAAAACTGATGAATTTTCCTAAAATATGACTACTTATGTTTTTTTACTAGAATGATATCATCCATCTATGCATGTGTTGATATCCATCCCTATTTTTTAGTCATAACCGTATAGCCTTCACATCATTCTTCCTATTTTTATGCAAATTGGAGTATGCCATTCATTTTAATCCCTAATAAATAGGAAATGATATGCCTAACGTGGCTAATAAATTGGAATCCCCATGTATTTAGTAATGATTTGAGTCATACCTAACATAAAAAATCATGTATGGTCATATTCTAGGAAAACTAATGAGTTTTAGTAATATTGGAGTATTTTTCCCTAGTCATTTCTTGTCCAACTTGAAATCTAGTCATGTACCTGTCTAATAAAACTAAGAGTAATATCCCAGAAAAAATAACAATATCCGCATGGATCTTTGGCACGGATTCGCCAAAAATAATAGGGTATTGGGCACGAATTCGCCAAAATTAATAGGGTATTTGGCACGAATTGGACACGAATGCGTCAAATCCGTACTAATATTATTTTGTCACCAGCTACCTGACACGGTGCCATAGTGAAAATATGTTATGGTCCGTGCTAAAATCATGTTAATATCGTTACCGTTGTTTATTGTAGTATAGTATAGTTACTATTATTACAAATTTACAATTGTTATTCTATTTTTACTGTTGTCGGTGTTATATAAAAAATGCTTACGAATGAGAAGTCGATTTTGATTCGATAATCGTGAAGAAATGCACTTGGCGACTTTGATTAAAGAGATTTGGAAATTCAAACCATGGGGCTTTTACCTTCAATCAATATTACTAAATTAAAGCCAATTTTCAAAAATGTGACCATTTTTCTGAAAGGACAAAAATGTGACTAACATATGTCACTGCCTATTGTTTATGTCACTATCGATTTTACGTCACTATAATTTCTATTACTTTTGAATGTCACTATTAGTTTTCATGTCACTTTCATATGTCACTATCGGTTTTCATGTCACTTTCATATGTTATTATTTCCGTCAAACGTGTCACTGTGACGTTGATCATGTCACTATGTCTCCGGAAAATTTCCGGTGACCTTTTCCGGCCACAATTTCTATTCAACGTAACAGCCGCCCGCCGCCACTATGGATGAGACACCTGCTGCCCTACCCCCAACCATCCCCTGCTCCCCCACAGCTACCTTGCTTGCCCTCTCCCCAGCCATAGCCTACCCCCGCTCGTGCGCCGCCCATTAACCATCCAATACTGCCTCCAGCCACCCCACCGGCACCACCAACCCACCGCCACATGCTGTCGCGTACCCACCCTCCCCATCCCGACGCCCCAATCCCCTGCACCCTGACCTGCTGCTCCAGCCACAAGTCTACAGTGGAGCATCGCCCAACCTAACCGGTGAACCAACACCATCGGTCAACACCCCCAATCGTCACTCTGAAACCCTAGCCCCAAATTCCCCAACCTGTCCTCTCAAGCCTTGCACCCATACAACCCCATCCCAGCCTCCCTGATCTCATCCCTCGCACCACCACAACCCTAGATCCACATCTGAAACCACCGTTGAACGAGAAAAAGAATGAAGGAAAAGAACAGTGACCATGGCGATTAACAGCGACGGAAGCCAAATGGTTAGTCGGTGAGGTGCCGCAATGGGATCGAATTAGACCGGCAGATGGAGAGATGACCAGCGGCGGCGGCGGCGATGCAGTGAGGACTCAAGGTAGTGGTGATGCAGAGACGTCTGGAGGACAGGCGGCGGCACTGCAGAGTAACCGGCGACGATGGCAAGGCGTATGGGTGATGAAGATGAGCCGCTCGCAGATCCAAGGTAGAGATGCGACGAAGATGATGAGCCGCTCGCAGATCCAAGCCAGAGATGCGACGAAGATGATGAGCCGCTTGCAGGTATGCAGGAGGATACGAAAGTGAGGAATGTAAAGGTCACATTTGTGTCAATTCTGTATTTAGTCATATTTTTGTCTTTAGAAACTCCAACAGTAATATTAGGGTCATTCTTTCAATGATACCAAACGTATTATAGATTTTCAGTTTCAAAACTAACTTTTCTACTTCCAGTTTAAGTGGAAAACATAAACAGTATGATCACTATAAAATACGGAGTATTTGAATTAACATTGTGGAACTTCAAATTTATTTCTAATCAAATTTAGTTTGAGTGGGCCTAAACTCATAACATTTGGCATAATTCCATCTAAAATTGGTCTGGTCTATTTAAGTATAATCAAGTCCGATCCAATCTAGAGTAATTTGATCTGATTTGAAATCACTCGAAGTGAGAAGATCCCTACTACGAACTATCACACGATTCGCACCCAATAGTCCTATACCGGTGTTTAGAATGTTTTCACTTGGTTTAAAATTTCTAGTCTGAACCGATTAAATCTAGTTTATTTATCTCTAATTTGACACTCCGTATGATATTATGTGTTTTCTAAAACTTTGGTGGAAGTGGAAAACAGGAAATTCTTTATGGAATATGTTTATTAATGCTAGATATCCAAGAGAAGGGAACTTCATACCTAAAATTACTGATTCTGTCATATGGAAAAGGCTATGTGCTATCAACACTGAAGCTCTTTCACTCTGTTCAGTAAACCCTTATGGGAATATAATCTGGAATATGGAAGAGACTGGAAATTTTACTTTCCATTCAGCCTACAATTATAACAGGGAAGAAACTATCAGCACTTTCACTCATAAACATATTTGTCCTCTATGTAGAGAACATGAGGATACTATGGACCATTTGTTTTTTCAATGCAAAGTCTCTTATCCAGTTTGGATTCATTTTATGGGAATATTTGGCATCCCAATCACTCCCAGGAATAACTCTATTCGGCATGTGATGATTTCTTGGTGGCTAAAGGCTGGCAATAAGAAGTTAGAGGACATTTTTAAGCACAATCTTCCAGGTATGATTTGCTGGAACATTTGGAAGATTTATACTAATATTATTTGGGGCCAGGGAGACTGCCAAACTACACACGCGTATATTATTAAGCAAATCAAATATTTTACCCAACATTGGATCCATACTGTGAAGAAGATGAAGATTTCTTCGATTGGGGAGATGTTAATTGAAGAAAATCTGCTTCCTAGGGGATTCAAGCTAACAGGAAGAAGTTTTCAAATTATAAAATGGAATAAACCTGTTGACGGACTGAAATTGAACATTGATGCCTCGTACTCACCTGGTGGTGCCAAGGGTGGAGCGGTCATGCGAACGAGCAGTGGAACTGTGATCTTTGGACTTCTATTTCCGGTGACAGCTTCATCGCCATTAGAAGCAGAGCTAAAAACGATACTATATGCGGCGAGGTGGGCTTTTGAGAACGGCTTTGACAAATTTCAGGTGGAATCAGATTCTAAGTTGGCTATTTCTTTCTTGTTGGGAGCTGAGGTGCGTAGATGGAAGGATGAGATTAAGGAAACCCTACTGATTTTAGACAAGAAAATGGTTACTTTCAGACATGGTTGGCGTGAAGGTAATTGGGTTGCCCGCAAGAAGTGACGGATCAGCTCAAAGTTATTACCAGCCCAAATGCTCTCCCACTTTTTTCAAATCGGGCCTATTTCATGGATCTTTATGGGCTTCCCTCTATTAGATTTACTTAGATCTTGTTTGTTATTGGGTAAGGTTTGGTCCCCTCAATTTGTTTTATTTCTTTTTCTGAATTAGAGGCCGTTTGGCAACCCTCATTATCAGGCTTTAACTTTTTTACCAAACACGTAAATTTTGCTTTCGCGCGCTGAATTGTTTAATAAGCCGAAAAAGTAAGGTTGGAGTTACTTTTCTAGCTGTATTGGCTGAAGTTACTGTAGATGATCATTTTAGCTATTTTTACATATAATTTTTTCTTTATTTTATTAATAAAATATATTTTAAAAATATTTTTTTCTTGTATCAGCAGAATCAGCCAATGCAACCATTTCAATCAGAACTTCATAAATTTCACCAGAATCAGCCAAAACAACCCATTTTCGTGCTACCAAACGGGCTCTTATTGTTCAATGTGTAGCTCGAAAAGGTATACCTTTTCTGAAGAGGTTTTGGTCTAGCCCCCCTCTTCACTCTGTATATTTTCATTATTTTTAATAAAACCCGTCAAATGTTCCCCGACATTTGCCTACCGGGTTAAAAAAATTATCTATTTAAGTCACATATGATCTCAACTATTTCAATATGATTAGTTTGATATGAAACTCAAATTATGCCAACTGGTAAGCCATTTAATTTGACTTTTTATTTCAAAAAAAATGAACATGAATAAAATATAACACCTTAAAAAATACTACAATGAGCATTGGTATTTATTTTTAACGAAAAATTGATAAGAATTATCTCATCTTTCACTAGTCTTCTCATAATAATATCACTTTTATGTAATCCCAGAATAATCACACTTTTGTATCTCATCTTCTTTCGTTGGAGCCTAACTGGTTGATAACCTCCTATGCCAGGTTTTTACCCTTCTTTGAAAACCATACGTAAATAATCTCACATTTCAAAAATCTACTCAAAACGGTCCCATGTTTCATTTTTTGTTTTTTTCTCCCTAAAATTTTTCTCTTTATTTTCATTCCTAGACACTATTTATTCCCTTTTCTATCCTTTTGTTCTTATTTCATTTCCATTTTTATTATTCTATTTCTTACTCTATTAGGATTTTTTTTTGTAAAATTTCCTTCCCAAATTGATCCTTTTGTCATTTTCTTTTTATTCCCATGTTTTTATTTCATTTCATGTTTCTTTTGATCATTCTCTTCTTATTAAAGATCTTTTTTCTACTCCACTTGTTATATTTTCTTTTTATTTTCACTTTCCCACTTTTTTCTTCTTTTTACTTTTTTTTATGTTTTCCTTCTTTCTTCTTATTATTTTAATTGCACCATCAATATATTCTCTCTCCTTTCTGCATTATCGTATTTTTCTAAGTAAATCCACCCATTAATTGCATCAACGATGTGAAAAATTCTATGTTACAAAAGGATTAAGGGAAAAATAAATTAAAAGAAAAATAAAACATTCATGAAAATGAAAGAAAGAAAAAATTACATTTTCCCTAATGTTTTATTTTTCTTTATATTTCCCAAATATTTTATTTTTCCATAATCTTTTTATCACATACAATTTTTCCCACAAGGCCGCAATTGATGGAAATAATGAGTGAATTTACTTAGAAAAGTACGATAATGAAGAAAGGAGAAAAAATATATTGATGGTGGAATTAAGATAACAAGAAGAAAGGAGAAAAGTGGGGAAAAATATAACAAAAAGTAGAGTAGGAAAAAGATATTTAATAAGAAGAAAATGATTAAGAAGAAAAACATGAAAAAGGGAAGAAATAAAAATACGTAAAGAAAACGACAAAAAACAACTATTTTGAAGAGAAACTTTAAAAAAAATCTCCTAATAGAGCGAGAAATAGAATAATAAAAAATGTAAAAGAAATAAGAACAAAAGGATAAAAAAAAGTAAGGAAAAATTGAAAATAATAATCCTAACTATTGCCGGTCCGCTAACAATAATCCCAACTATTGATTATTTTTATATAATACCAACTATATAGACCGTCTGCCAATAATGGCCCATGACCGCATATCACCTGCTCCAACAAGTAAATTTTTAATAGAAATTAAGCGTAAAAATTAAAATTTGAGATTATTTATAGGGATTACATGCTATATCTTTTTAGAAACTATAGGAATTTATTTAAAGTCGATCACGTCAGACCATTATTGGCGAAAGATCCCTAAGGTCGAGATTATTATTAAATAATTGATAGTTGAGATTATTATAAGCGGACTACCAATAGTTGGAATTATTACAATCAATTTTTCCAAAAAGTAACAAAAGTGTCTAGAGATGAAAATAAAGAGAAAAAATTTAAGAGAAAAAAGAAAAAATGAAACATGGGACCGTTTTGTGAAAGGTGACATTATTTATATAAGGTTTTCAAAGAAAAGTTAAAAAACCTGACATAGTTGGTATCAACGTATCAGAGTCCAACGAAAGAAGATAGGGTGCAAAAGTGAGATTATTCTGAGATTACGTAAATGTGAGATTATTATGAGAAAGCCAGTGAAATGTGGAATTATTCTTGTCAATTTTTTCCTATTTTTAATTGAACCTATAATTTTTGAGAAAAGGATCAAATAGGCATTCGAACTAACATAAAAAGGTCAAATAAGCCCTTATATAGGAAGCTCTGTCCGGCCGTCGTCATTTAGGGCAGTTTCCGGTGGAATTTTTTGATGAAATGTTTTGACCATCTTATTCATTTAGTCTAGTTTATTCATACCAAATTTCAGCTAACAACTCAATCGGGAAGACATTCAAATTAATTCTTAAATATAACTGCGCTTTTAACTGCACAGTTATCTTCAAGAATTGATTTGAAATTTGAATATCTTCCCGATTGAAGTTTTAGCTGAAATTTGATATGAGTAAACTAGACTTAATAAATAAGATGCACAAAAAATTTCATCAAAAAATTACACCAGGAACCACCCCAAATTGTGACAGCCAGACAGAACCTCCTATATAAGGGCTTATTTGACCTTTTTACGTAAGTTCGAGGACCTATCTGACCCTTTTCCCTATAATTTTTGGCCTAGTCTCTTTAAGCCTGATTTCTAAATTGGTCTAATCTACCGTGCTTTATGTGTAGTTCACAATTGTCAAAATCTAATCTGTGTAAGCATGATCTCAGATTGAAACTAACCCAATCAAAAACATCATAAATTTCATTATACTAAAACCAGATATAAGCAACACAGCCAAACTCAATTTCGTCCTAAAAAGACCAAAATGATATGCATTGAGAACACAAGATCACATGTATTATGTTGTTCTATAACACAATTTGGAAAGTGACTTTGTACCTGTAGACTAAAGCTATCTGTATCCCTTATTTTTGGGGACCACACATTCCCATCATTCCCAAAAAATATATATTTCCATAAAAAAAATTACACCTCGTGTACCTTGCTTTGGGTAAGAATAATAGCTTTAGTTTTCCAGAAATAGAAATATAGACTGGCAGGATCCAATAATTGTGTGGGATTTTTTTTGGGGGGAGGGAGCAGGGGCTTTCGTGGGAAAAAACCGAAGTACAAATAATATGATTCACAAAATTGCTGCAAATTCAAAACCCATAGTTGAGGCCTGTCTATAACCAGCATTTCCCTCATCAAAGATATCAAATGAAACAACTAACTCTGGGTTGACCATGGAAATCTTCTGTACGTCTTTACACCCTTACCTTGTATTACTCCATCCTTGCCTGTTCTCTGAAAACAATCCAACATAGGATGATATATCAAATTATTAATACTGGGAAAATTATGTCTCCAACAAAAAAGCCTTAATTAGGGCACTGGAAGCAGCTTACTACTCAGGTAAGAATTTGAAGAAGAATATATGAAACCGAATATAAACACACAGAAACCGTGATGCCAGCAACAAAATTCTGGAGCAGCTTCTTGTCGTCTTTTGTGGGTATAAACACAGTCTTTAGAGTGTTGGTTAGTTCGAATATCCTATAAGATATCTGCAAGATCACACAGAATTGCAAGAATCAGTAAGAAGTTGAAAAATATATTTGAATATATGTGTATAATTGTGTGTGTGAGGTGTTTATTCACGATAGGCACACTGCCACCTTAGTTTGAGCATATGATCATTTCACCGATTTAGATTTTTTTATCATTAGTATAATTCCAAGTATTAGATATTCAATTTCTTAATTTCAGGCATCAGTAGTTCCAGGTTTATTAATTCCAAGTGGTGGGTATTCAATTTCTTCGAAGGTAGATGCTAGAAAATTACTTTTCCTCAATTAGAAATGATCTAATCGTTAAGATGAATTCATCATGAGAAATGGAGTTTCGATTGTGTATCTTAGGTGAAAATGTGAAATTGAATTGTTTACATCATCGTATGGTTGTAATTGATACTTAACGCTAATGAGTGAGCAAATTTGGGCCATTGAATTAATTTTTTGCCTAAACCTGTAGTTGAACTGACGAAATAACATCAAACGCGCTATATACATATTGGGGCGCGTATTTGCATACCAAGATATAAATGGCAGAAGTCAGCATGAAGTTAAGTAAAGGATAGCCGGGGAGAAATGAAAGAAGCCACTTAGGCTGCCCATTTGGAACATTTGATCTGCAAATATATTTCAGAACAAGAATATACATTTAGGCTGCTCATTGTAAACTTTAAAATAATAATCAAATGCAAACAAGAAACAACAGCAAGTTGTCAAAATAATACACTCCACACACCTTAGCCAGATGTGGAACTGGGAGATATAGGTCTCCAGGGTAACTTTCCCAAGCCACCTAGTATAGTACAACAAAGGAATCATGCACTACAAACTCGAAGGTCGAAAAACGCAAAACAAATAGGACTTGAGGGCCAGTTTGGTATTACTTTTATAGATGGAAGTGTGAATACAAAGTGCTCAGTTGTGCTATGAAACAAACTGTTTTACTTTATGATACAAAGTGCATTGAATGATGTTTTTGGTACTGGGGGGCTATGATTTCTTAGCTAAATAAAATAAATAACAAATAGCATTGAAGAAGACGGGTGGTGTGGATTCATATCACATCCCCTGACAGATGTGACTTTTGAGATGTTATTAGAAGTCTTTCAAGGCACAATACCCCTTTGTTTTGCAAAAATGAATTTTGGAGATAGAAGTGTTTTTGGCTAAAAATTCACAACGATGCCAAACTGGGCCTAAGTGTAATGGTGACAGAACATATACTATGAAAACATGAACTTACGCAAACAAAGTCAATGAGACATTGCGAAGCTCCTGAGTGAAGTTCCTCAAGCAAATGTAAACTCTGGAAAGACAACAAAGCAATTCAATGATAAATGCTAGAGGAAATTAACAAGGACCAAGTCTTTATATTGTTCAAATACAAATTCCGAGTTTAATAAACCAATGTTTACAAGAAGCTCTAGAAAAACCTAAAAGAAACAGAGGAGAAAGATACACACGTGATAGGTATCCATGATGTGTATGGGTGGAACTTGTTGTAGGTGACCTTGTCAAGTTTGTATATATACTGGTACCACAAATATCCGACCTGAAAGGAAGAACTAAACAGAATAAGATTATACCAATAAACTCCTTAGGTATTTGTTGTATAAATGAAAAATAGTAAAATAAAAAGCTTTTCAAAAGATCTTTCTAAAAAACTTTCTAAGTAAGCTTTTTGAGATTTGAGAATGAGTTTTTTTCAATAGCTTAGAAAACTTTGTAGGCTCATTAGCAAATAGCTACTTGACATGATCAATCAGCTAATTCATACTCCCTCCGTCCCTTAAAACATTGCCAAGTTTGACTGGCATGGAGAATAATAAAGTAAAAACTGTGCGGTTAAGGTTTGGAGAGAAATAACAGGAACCACAAATTAGGTGATTAAAAGGGAAAGTGGCAAGGTTTTTGGGACATCCCAAAAAAGAAAGATGACAAAGTTTTAAGGGATGGAGGGAGTATTGAATAAGCTAAAATCCCTCAAATATTACTGACAGGAACTATGAAACAAGATGCAACTAACCATTGAAGAAACTGCAACAACAGATGCCTTGATTGTCCGTCTCCGCTTGGTTTCAGATTCTTCCAATTTCTCCATCCACTTTTCCACCTTTACTTATAAATTCATCAAAGGTCAATCTTGATGAGACTGAAACTTTATAAAACTAAAGGATGAATCCAAACAAAATTTTCAGTTACTTTACATTAGGGTGAAAATAAGCATATATCATTCCAACAATCCAAATGTACCGATCAAGTCCGGATCTGAAATGCCATTCGTGCATTCGAGGGAGATCTGGCTTTGCAGGATCATCATAACCTAATGTGAAAAGTAATTAACATCAGTCTAAAAACGCTCAAGGGGGCAAACATGGATAATTTATTTTCAAAAAGGTCATTACAGAAGACATATTAACCTACCTAGCATAAAACTGAAAGGACTCCATAGAATCTCAAAAACTCCTGGAATCTCCCAAACCAAGATAACCACTAACAAACATGCAAGAAGCTTTATAGCCATCACTGATCTTATCTCATTATAATTATGGCCAATGCCAAGTGTCCCGTAGACCATCAGGGTGAACAGAGTGTGCATTGGACAGATATAATACAGCATGTAATCATTGTTGAGAACAACGCAACAAAATATCACAAAAAAGTTCAGCCTCCACATCATCTGTTCACAAATGATATGACATTGCACTTCAATAATATGCATTGCAAAAAATAATTTTGAAGAAGATTGGATAGTATGTGACCTGAGCAAATCGTGCAAGACTAAAATCCTTTCTGATGTAATAATATGAAAAATTTCCAAAACCAGTCATCCAGACATATGCAGCAATAAAGATACGAATAGCATTGTATATCTCTGCTGCGGCAAAGTAATGGTACATCAAAAAGAGAACCTGTGAGAGATAATAATGTGTTAATGAGTAAAGAAAATACATCAAATTGATAATTATCTGGATTAAATAGAAATTCTAGCCTAAACAGGAAAGCAACAAAGATTTGAGATTTACTAACAGACAATGTCAAACTTCAATAAATATACAGATGGGAAGCGTAAAATGAGCCCTGCCTCCAAAAATGAGCCCTGCCTCCATGAGGGCAGTAAATAAGGCTATGATGGTAAACCAAAACATTAAATTGTAACATTCCAACATATAGACATGAAGACAGTTAGACACAAGACATATATGTGGCATATTAGTACACACACGCATACTGCACACACACACACAGAGATGGTCAAAACAGTATAAACAAAACAGCATTTTGATTTCCAAAAGCACTACAGTACAACACGAAACACATATGCAAATAAAACCTACCTGCATCCATCCTTTCCATTCTTCTGTTTGATGGCGATTCAAGTAAAGTAATGATTTCCCAGAAAAGGCTGACTTGTCATTGTGTTTTTTGAGAGAAGTCATTGAAGAAACAATGATGAGAAGAATAAACAGGAAGAGGAAGAGATCACGGCTGTAATTCTGTTCAAGGAAAACAAGAAGACGGGAAACTTGTTACACTCATATGCATGCTAACACGTGTAATCAATCATGTTAATGACAAGTTCTGCTGGGATAATAATCTCAGTTTACCATTCTACTGAACGAAGCCTTACAAGTTAAATGCAAGACAACAATAAAAGAAGAAAAAAATCCAAATTTAACAAGATTACATTGCGGCTACATGCCTACACTTCTAATATATGTACAAAGTCAAAGATACCCAAAAGGGACTGCAACAAAATACAAAAGCTCACATCTGATATAATACTACTGATAAACATGTAAGAAAGACATTAACGAATTACATTATTAATTCGTAATTTCAAGGGGGGCTAATTGCAAAGCTCTTGTTTTCGCACATTTAAGTTCTTTTGTAAAATAAAAAATTGTACTATAAGAGTCTTGTCAGGTTAAGTGCAATGGAAATATCAGTGAATTGTCAGGGGGGTCTAATTGTAAAGCTTTTAAATTTGCACATTTAAGGATTCTTTTGTAACATAAAAAATGTCAGGAGAATTTGCACATATATGATGCTTCTAATATCAGTGAATTGTCATCAGCATGCCAAATGATCTAAACAGGTGAAACCATGAATGAAATTTTAGCACCAATAAAACTAAGCACCTTAGTAGAATCAGCAAACAGATTTGTTCGGTCGCAGATGTAAAAATAGAATAGGATTGCCCCAATTTCAGACCTACATAACATTGTAAGATCAAATGTAAATGAATGGTTGAGAAATTATGAAACAACTCAAACAAATGAGACATAGCTTACATTGCTCTTAGAGTTGTTCGATTTTCGAGCAAGAATGAATCCTCCATTGTTAGGAACCTAAAACCATATAGGGCAAAAGACTAAAATAATATTCCAAAACCAAAGGCTAAAACCTCCTTTCATCAATTTCATACTACCTAACTAGGTTCGTTTTTAATGATGAAGTTGGTAATTTCATGGATGCAGATTTTGAGAGACCTCCTTCCAGCAATACAGCTCGGTCTTCTTCATTGATTGTTTCATTTCCCAACTCAGCCAGGTTACTGTCAGAATGGCTGCATCCCACAAAAGACAAATAATAAACCTAAAGTTGCACACTATTATTAGTAGTAGCACAGTACATTTTCATTGGTATGAGGCTGTGGAAGGAAATAATTCATCCTTACAAGTATGAATTCCATAATGAGACCATCAGGGACAATATGAAATTTCAAGAGACATTTACCTTAAGACTTAAGTTGTGGCTGATGCTTGACTATGTGAATTCTTTCAACTTATCACAAATTTTAAAAAGAAAATAATAAGTATATAAATAGATAGAGAATACTTTGTAAGTATTTCTTGCAATTTTGTGGCTTTGCGAGTGTCAAATAATTTCATTTGTTGTTACAGTTTCATCAACACATAACTTTCTCGATTGCTTAGTCTACTACACCATCATGTAACGTTCCCGTATCTTTCTAATCTTCAACTAGATTATCCATAAGGAAAAAAGGAAAGCACACTCAATCAGTAGTAAGCGACTTACACTTTAGAGAGGGGGGCAGACTTCTTGTACTCTAACCACTCAGCATATAACCAAGAAAAAATAACTGGGATAACTCCAAATAAAAATGACACCTGAAACATTATAAGTGAATGTTTGTGAGGAAATCCAAATAAGAAAGCATTTAAAAATAACGAGAAGCAGGTTGAAAGAACACGATAAACATGGTAAAAGTTTTCAATTAAGAAACATGGCTTGTACAATCAAGAAACGACACTATAGCAGTTTTCTTGCAATTTCCAAACTTCCAACATGGTTACATGTTACCTAATTACAAACTTCTAACATGAGCTTCTCAGGGTATCTCTCTCAAGCAGAAATGAGACACGAGTAAATAAAGAATCCCAAGTGCAAGCTTAAATCACAAAATAGCATGGATCTACTTAAACACTCGGATTGCATCAAAGGAGCTCGCGATGCTCCCTGATCAACTTTTCTTTCTCTCTCAGATTTACTTTGGTTAACCTGACATCCAGACCCCCCCCCCCCCCCCCCCTTGCAGATAGATTCCAAGCAAAATCTCAGCAATTTTATATATTTTGACGCACACTCTTAATCATCAAAGCAGTATTACGCTATGGAATAAGTAAAGAACCTGTCCAGGCGTCACTGGGCTAGAAGCCGCTGCCATGTTCAACTCCCGCAGAACCGAAAATGTAAAATGTTGGGTGAATTGGAATCAAATCAGCGAAGAATCCGAACACGAACGCGCATTTGGATCCTCCGATTCACGAACAGTTTCAAAAGCGGTAACGCGTATACGTATACGCGCAAGATATGCAGGCGAAAAGAGAACAGAAGGACAGTGTTTGTTATAGAAGAAAGATTGAGGAGATCTGAAGCAATGAAGATGAATGGCAGTGAGGTGAGGTGGAGAGTCGACGTCGTCGTTTGGTGAGCTTCAGGGAGGAAATGGCAATCAGTTACTCGGAAGAGCAGTCTCCCTCAGAGATCCAAAAGCTAACCGTTGGCGGTGGACTTCGGGTTGGTTCATTTACCCACTAGTTGCACGGTTGCTTTCCTCTTCTTTTCTCATGCTCGTGATTTCAAAAATAGGTTCAATATGTTTTTTCTGAAATAGAATTTATTACTGTCATTAATTATAGGAGAAACTGTCAAATAGTGTATAAATAGGTACACCTACTTATACGAAAAAATCAATTGAGTCCATGTACATTTTTTTAAGTCAATCAAGTCCGTTAACTATCAAAAAACGACCAAATCAGTTATTCAATAGGTTACTAACCGGTTATCCGGTTAACAACCTACATGGATGTATTACGTGGCGATTTTTTTAGTGTGTTCAGATTTTTTTTCTTTTCTTTTTCTTTCCTTTTTCTCTTCTCTTTCTTTTTTTTTCTCTTCCTTTTTCCTGGTCCGCACCTTCCCCACCCGCTTGTCTCCTTCGTTGCTTTCTTTCTTGGCTCTCATCGGGAACAACTCCGACGCTTCCGCCTCTCTAGCCACCACCTTCGCTTTTCAGCCTCCATAGCCACCGCCTCCAGATCCTGACCTACACCTTCACCTCAACCGCCCGTCCCGCCATACACACCCCCTCCAGCCACCACATATGCAGTGGCGGCTTTGAGGGCAGTTGGGCCAGGCAACTGCCGTGGGCCTCAACTGCCAAGAGGGCCTCCAAAAATTTCTACTCCGGTATTAGTATTAGGTGTTATTTGTAGACCGCCAATACATCGAGCGATAACTGCAAGCAGAAATCGGCTTCATAGTTCATGTCTGACTATCCTTCCTTCATCAAAGTTGTAGCTAATGAAGTCTTCTATCCAACACAACTTGCAAAACTGGATTTGAATCATCCAATCAAAATATATGAATAAAATGGTGGAAGGTCGCATTCTGAAATCTCAACAGAGACTATTTGACTTCATCGTCTGTTTTCACCTTGCTTCTCTCATATTCTCGCAATGGTGTTTTCATATGATTTGTAGTCCTTGAAGTTGGCTTTAATATGAAACTTGAATGGTGTTCTTTGGATGTTCCTAAGAAAATATATGTTTGAACGATTGATAGAACGTCATCCTGACCGCTCTTTTCAAGCTCTATTCGTCTTCTTTTTATCTCATACCTAATTTTAGAGCTCTTTTGTCTTCAAAACTTTGTCTTTAACACCTCACTGACCTCCAATGCTCCTAATCAACTCTCAAATGCTTCTCAACTCGTCCCTATTGCTTCTCAAAAACCGGTGTCGGACTCCAATTCCCTGATTTTGACTCCAAAAATACCGAAACTCGAACCAACGCCCGGTAAATATGACTTGAGCTTAAAATTGATACTTATGACACCTTAAAGTTAGGAAAACCTATCAAAATCCGATCCCAACGCCCGGAAAACTTAATAAAATTTCCACATTTAGTCCCCGAGTATTATCACGTTGACAATTTTAGTCCTTCCACAATGATTTTGAGATAATAAGTGTAGGACTAAAAATGTCACTCCTATAATAGTTGAAGGATCAAAAGTGTCACTTTTATGAAAGTCGAATGCCTAAATGTGGAAATTTTCAAAGACGGGTACCAAAAGTGTCTTTCGCACGATAGTCGAAGGACTTAAAGTGGAAAAACTCAAAGTCGAGTACCAAAAGTTTCAGTGACATAATAGTCGGAGGACTAAAAGTGGAAAAAACTCAAGAAAAAAAAGTTGAGAAGAGATTTGATTATATGATCAACCATTTCGGTAGATATATTTTAGTTTTAGCTAGTCCTGATTACAATGAAGTTATTACTGATTTTGCACTTCAAAAGGTATGAATAATAGGTCAATAGGGTGTTACAAGTATAAGTTTGCTTTGTGTTTTGCATATGTTTGCATTTAAAAATTTATCCTTTTGAATATTACAAACATTATATCGTGAACTTTGAGTATGCTTTTTTTCATAAGGTGATTTTTATTCAATTTGTCTGATTTTAAAAGAGATTTGTACATAGTAAATATTTTTCGTCTGGGGCCTCCGAAATGCTCAAGCCGCCTCTGCACATATGTGGCCTTCCCCTTCGCCTCCTTCGTTGAAGCAACCTCGAGCCGCGCCGGATTCCATAGCAATCTCCCTTACCACCGTACTCACAGCCTCCAGCTTCCACCTCCACAGTCTCCAACGCCACCGCCTCCATGGAACGACCTCCAACCAGCGGTCTCCAGCTCCGCCTCTTCCATGGAACGACCTCAAAACACCTGATCTCCATAGCCGCCACCGCCACCCCATGGATTTGTAGTTGTAGGTGCAGGGAGGGAAGAGGGGTTCAATTTGAAGGGGAGATGTGAGGATGGAGTATTGGAGTGCAGACTGCAGACGCAGAAGAGGAGCTGGAAAAAGAAGAAAGAGAAAAAAAGAGGAGAAAAAAGAAAAAGAAAACAAAATAGAAAATATTAAAAAATGCCAGATGGAAGTCCATGTAGGCTGTTAACCGGATAACTGGTTGGTAACTTATTAAATAGCTGATTTGGTCGTCTTTTGATAGTTAACGAACTTGATTGACTCAGAAAAATGTACATGGACTCAATTGACTTTTTCGTATAAGTAGGTGGACCTATTTGAGAGTTTTCTCATTATAGGAAATACTGTAATTAATTATTTTAAATACTGTCATGTTAAATGCACTGTACTGCAACTATTTGTCAGTCACGGCTACAAGATAACAGTAAATACTGTCATGTTAGTCCCATTTCGGGAATAAAAACAAAGTAGTCATATTTTGAAATTTCAAACTTCATTTACTCCTATTTTGGGAAATCTCCCGATTTCTATTGGGTTGTCACTAGTACATTCGAAAATGTTTAGTGTACATTCCATATACACTATTTGTACAACATATAAAAGGTAAAAATTAAATTTTTTACCCCTCTCCCCACCCCTCTCCCCCACGTGCAACCCCTCTTCCCAAAACTCCCGCCTCGCCACTTCCTTCTCTCCCCACCTCTCTCCCCCACGTTCGAACCTTTCCCAAAGCTCCCGCCTCGCCACTTCCTTCTTCCCGCCGGTTTGCGGTGCATATCTCCCCCACGACTTTCTTCTTCTTCGCCTCTCCACGTCCATCTCCCAAAGCCATCTCTTCTCCCACACACCGTCCTTGCCGCGAAGCATCCCCAGTCGCGAAACATCCCCGGCGTCCACCCTGAAGAGCCAACCAGCGAAATGATTCGTACGTCTCTGACATCTTTGGTTGAGGCTTCAAAGAGAAGGTAATATCAACTTCTTGAACACATTTGTGAGTAGTATTGTTCAATTTGACCCCCTAATGTGTGGTTTGTGTTTGTTGTTATTTTTTTATAAACTTTGAAATCATTATGGCTTTCGAAGTTTACGCTTGAAAAAATGAGTTTGATGAACTGAGAAGCACACTGTAATGGCCGGATTGTATAATTTTGAATTCTTCTGTGGGATCGATGGATAATGTATGTGGCTAGACGGTTTAGGTTATACAATTTATTATGATGGAAGTCGTTTTCTGTATTTACATTTGACTTGATTTGTCCGTAGTTTGTGATGTATTGTTTGTCTTCCTTGATAACAAGATTTTTTTGTAATGAATAGGGTATTTTCGAACAAATGGTGGTTTACTCCAACAAAAGGTGCAAAGGGCATGTCGTACTTATTCGTGAGATACGGGTGTATCGAAAGTTATCACATCTCCAAAATCTCTATAAGCATACCGGCACTGCTTGTCCACCCAAAATACATTGCAAAGGCGCGATTCTTCATCTATGTCAAGAGCAAAGCAAAATCCGGGGCATTCCGCTTTCATTTTGCAAAAGAAACTTTGAATTGCAACGGCATCACCATTTCCTAAATGCAAACGACGAACCTTGTCAACGTAGTTCCTACAATCCTTCTCAATGAACGGTAATTTATCATACCCGCCTGCTTCTACTACGGAGGAGGTGTAGGTTTTGTGAAGAGGTATTCCGGCAAATGTATTTATTTCAATTTTTCTCCTCATGTTCATAGTCAATCTCCTATTACAACGAAAAGCTCTAGTTTTGGTAGGACTCATGGGGTGGTCATGCTCTTCATGCACTTTCGAAATTACCCATGACCCAACATAGTCATACATGACTTTGATTCGGGTTTTGCAACCTATTGCACTAGTAGGCCTAGGAAACAAAGAATTTGTGGACTTTGAAACTCTATTTCCAACACGGCCACATTCGATTAACATTCCTGTTATGTTTTCTTGTTTGTCTTTCGTTGAGCTCCTAATTCTAATGGAAAAACCTATACGTTTTGCGTAATTCTTATAGTGATCATATGCATCATCTTTTCCCGGAAACAACATCCCAACTTCTATACGGATGTCTGGTGTACCACCATCTACATTTGTGTTATCCGGATCTGAGTGAAGCCATATATAACAAATAATGAGAACCCATATAAACGTCTGTGGACAGGCAATAGCAACACAAACATTTACTACGTAATGTCAGTGTACATAGGCAATAGAATACAAACATTTACTACATGAAAAATAAAACACATCAAATACAATACTTTGACTTCATAATCATAGATTAACACAAATGGATGTTAAAGTATACAAATACAATGTTATTCAGTTGTCCAGGGGCTGAAACATCCAAATGCATGTGTACACATACATTACGTTCGATGTACCTTCTTCATCATCAACGTCCAGAATCTGCTTTTCATCTCCATTGCCGACGTCTTTCGTACTGGGCTCACCTTCATCTTGTGTCGTCGAAGGTTCAGAACCAGATTTGTCTCCTTGAAAACCCATAAACTCGCCCATGTCGTAACTAGTG